GTGAGTTGGAATAATATCTGTTCATAAGAGATTTTTGGAACTTACTAATGGCTGAGATATTTCTAAGCCCTTATCCAGGGAGAAGCTGGGATCCTTAGCTACACACTAGTTCTAAGAGGGTCAATTATAGAAGACTGTAATTTCCTTCTTTTTTTTAAAAATATATTTTATTGATTTTTTACAGAGAGGAAGGGAGGGAAATAGAGAGCTAGAAACATCGATGAGAGAGATATATCGACCAGCTGCCTCCAGCACATCCCCCACTGGGGATGTGCTCGCAACCAATGTACATGCCCTTGACCGGAATCGAACCTGGGACCTTCTGGTCCGCAGACCGACGCTCTATCCACTGAGCCAAACCGGTTTTGGCTGTAATTTCCTTCTGTAGAATTGAGAATGGGTGGAAAATGATTGTGAGGATTCAATACCATATTGTATGTTTGAAATAAGTACCTATTGAATTGCTGCTGTATTTTTCTAATCCATCACTCCTCCTATCTTACCAAAAAATTCTTTTGTAAAAAAATATATTTTATTGATTTTGTACAGAGAGAAAGGGAGAGAGATAGAGAGCTAGAAACATCGATGAGAGAGAGTCATCGATCAGCTGCCTCCTGCACAACCCCCCTACTGGGGATATGCCTGCAACCAAGGTACATGCCCTTGACCGGAATCGAACCCGGGTCCCTTCAGTCCCCAAGCCAATGCTCTATCCATTGAGCCAAACCAGTTTTGGCCCAAAAATTCTTGCTACAGATGAGGTATAGAGCCACTATAGGTCTCTAAGAAAAAAAAACACATGATAAAATCCCCTTCTCCCTTCTGCAGATGGTGCTTAGATTGCAATTCATTCTACTAGGACATTGCCACCTTTTAGTTTATTTCCCTTCGTGGCTTCTTTATTATTAATTCCTAGAACATTTGTAAAGTTCAAAATCCATAAATAATATAAAATCAAGTACTTTTTCAATCTGCAGATGGGGATATTACTAGGGTTTCAGAAGGTGATTGTGAGGATACATGCTATAATATTTGCAATTTAATAATAAAATGAGCAACATGAAGCTGCACTGAGGTGGCTGACACATGAGTCATTACTTCACAAGCACATGTTGACCATTCTTATTTCAGAACCCACATTCAACCTAGGAATCCTTTCAACACATCAGGATAGGCAACCTTTATTGGTCACTTAGCACCCAGAATTATGATTAAAAAAAAAAAAAACATTTAAAGGAGTGCTTTGGAAGTTAAATGCTTTTCTTTTACTCTTAAGAACCCTGCATTATCTGCTTCCCTGAACCTGTCAGAGGTGGGAAGATTGTCTGAGAAGAAGTTATCTAAGTGAGGATAAAGTCAAAGAATAGTCATCGTTGGTACTTCTCTTCTCCCACCCACATGAGTAGAGAGGAGAGAGCTGGCCTTTTCTTCTTGTTTCAATTTAAGAATCATCTTGGTACCAATACTACTCAGAATAGGGATTTCATGTGGAGCAAGGCTTTAAACCACATCGCACCAGGTTTAGGATAACTGCAGACAGAAAAAGCCACAAGAAAACCTTGGTATCCTCTTGTTTTGTGGTGATTCTTTCTGAACTATTGTAATCTATGGAAAATATCAATCGAGTCAAAACACACTTCTGGAAGAAGAGAGACATCCTTTGTTTAGGTGATTTGTCAGCTTAAATAATCAGTAATTGCATCACACAGGTGTGCTGGGAGCCAGGCTTGGCATAAGATAGCGCCCTACCTATAATCCTCAGAAGCCTCCACTTATTTATGGAGGCTTCATAGGGGCTTTCAGGTTGACGGATGTTTCCTTATTTCGTGGTTACCTTTTGCCCTCTGGGAATGGCCCTGGGAGGGAACTTCTGAAGAAAAGTCTGAGTGAGAACTAGTGTGTTACCAACTGTCAGTCTTTAAAGGCCAGCGGCTTAGTACTCGGGATAGAAGCTGAGCTGTGGAATGTAAAAAGCAACATGCTCAAACTGGCTTAGGAACAATGGAACTTTCGGGAAGTCTCTGCCTTCTCAAAGCCCAACTCTCCAGCCAACAACATTTGCCAGGCCCTAAAAAAAAAGCGTGAAATTTTTGCAAAAGCTTTGAATCTTTCCCTGAGCCATGCTTCATAAAATATCTTCTGAGAACACATTATGATCTGTATTATGTTGGAAGCTTTCATATTATTGAAGCACGTGCTTGTCTGTGTGGTTCAGAAAGAAAAGCCTGATGAGGACTGGAGAAGTCTCTGGCTGTGTGTAGGTGGACTGGAGGTAAAAGGTGAAATGCTTCCTTCCAACTCTGAATTCTATGATCCAAATGACCTTCAAAGAAGTCTAAAAGTGTTTACCAGGGTGCAGATTGGGCGATTGGGCAGTTAAGAACAAGCAACACTCTACTGTTGCCCTTGTCCCCAGCTTCTATGGTGCTTCAAATGTTTGAGAAAAAAGCAAAGAATAAAATAAAAAATAGGAAGACAAAATCATCTCTCTGAAGTCATTCTAAAACAGTTTAATCATTTTATTTATTTATATATTTTTTAAAAAATATGTTTTTATTGATTTCAGAGAAGAAGGGAGCTACCTCCTGCACGAGCCACACTGGCAATTAAGCCTGCAACCCAAGAATGTGCCCTGACCAGAAACTGAACCGTGACCTCCTGGTTCATAGGTTAATACTCAACCATTGAACAACACCAGCTGGGCTTATTTATTTCTATATTATCTAGCTTACAGTGTGCAAATAATTATTTTTTCATGTTTTAGACAAGAAAAAAATAGAGTGGATATTGCCTAGCTAGACTGATAATGTCTTGCCATGGCTTACTATGACTTCCCTATAGTTATTCTAAAAAAATGTTTCTGAATAAAGCATTAGACTTTAAAAAAAAAAAAAAAAAGGCATGACAGCTAATGACTGGAAAAAATGAAAGTCCTACATGTGGCCAATGGTGTAATTATCTCTCTCTTCCTCAAGGAGCGATTTCCTTGAAAGCTATGTGCAAACATTTTCCTTTCCTGGCATACATGATAAGACCACATGTTAAGACATACTTCATGCATGATTTCCATGCAGATAGCAATAATTCTACTCATTCCTACTTCCCTCAAAAAGTCTTATCAGGTGTTCAAATGAGTGAAAATAATTACTGAATTATTTGGATAATTCCAAATCTTCTCCAATTTACTAAATAGCGAATTTGTTGCAATTATTTACAACTTTTATATTTACCAATCATTGTGACACACCTAAAAAGTGATATTATGTATTATAGATAAGAACCACTGCTCTTAAGGGCTTCAGAGTCAGCAGGACAACAGATCAAGCCAATGTCTTAGTCTTGCAAATGTAAGGATTCTGTTTGGATCACCTATTCAAACTATTTCTAACTCTTTTCATACCCTCTTTTCAACTCAATTTTAATAATTCCCCTCTCTTTTAGGTGTGACTCCATCACAGAAATTAGCATTCTAAAGCAATTCTCAGGAGGTGGGGATCAGTGGTATTTGGCCATAACTTTCCTAAGGTCCATTTTTCATATTGTCCACTCCCTCCACTCCATCACATAGGATGATTTTTATGTGATCATCCTTGCCCTGGTTGAGGACCACTTCTCTAAAACCATGGGCATTAGAAATTTCAATGTTGAAATAACAGGCAGTGAACTCTGTAGTTGGTACTGGGAAAGTTCCTGGCCAATGACTTATCTAATTTACACAGAAAAGCAAAATGGCAATTACTCCTACTGCTTTAAAGCCTCACTCTATTGGTCTTCATGCTCTGCCTGACCACCATCATTCCCTCCCCAAAAATCAAGAAATGGGTTAAAGTAAGTATAATTTATTAGAACTTTTCTGGCAATTTTTATTTCATCTGTTTTTTATTGATTAGAAAAAAAATGATTTGTTTTATATCCCCTTAGGTAATCTGATAATTAATTTATGTGTAGTGTTTACTATTTGCCAGACAGTGGTCTTGATGCTTTGTATATGTATATACTCAATTTGTATACCTTTATATATGGATATTCTCATTTATCCCTCTGAGATGTGTAATATTATTATCAATATTTTACATAAACAAAAAGCATAGGGAGACCTTCAGTTATTTGCCCTAAGTCATACAGCTAAAAAGTAAATGACCAATGATGAATTCATCTTCTAACCATGGAAGTCTGTTGCCTCTAAAACTTTAGATTGTGCACTTAAGTGAGAACTCTGTGTAGTTTAGTTTAGAGAAAGGAAAGTAATCAATGATAGAGTAATTATGAATCATAGAATATCACAGCAATTTTCAACTTTTTTTAACTTCATGGCACACACAAACTAATTTCCAAAATTCTGTGTCACACCAAAAAATATATTTTTCCATCATCTGATGAAATAAAAAATAGGTCCAATTTTGAAGCATTCACACTGGAAAGCTATTGTGTTGGTTGTTGTCACCTTTTTAGTTGACAATCTAAGGGGAAAGAGGTCAGTTGCCCTGACTAAATAGTTGGGTATTGCATGTTTTTAAAGTCCTTGAAGCACACAGGTTGAAAATTGCTGGAATATCAGAATGGAAAGGTCCATAGAGGTGATGAGAAGTTCCCAGTTTGGAAATGATGACACCAAGACCCCAAAAGGTAACATGTTTGTCCTAAAACACCACTAAGGAGTGAGTGGTCAGAATTCAAGTCTTCTGCTTCTCATTCAGGATAGTAGAAAGAAGAAACTGGTGCGACCAAGCAAACTTAATTAACTCAAAAAAAGTGCCTCTTCCATTAATTGAAGGGAATAGACTGGGGATAGATACCCTTTATCTGGCTCTGAGATGTGAAATACTCAACCTAGACTTTGTATTAATCCAAAGTCAGTAAAATATTTATTTTGGCATCATTTTATGAAAGTCAATTCTCTGGGAGAACTTCCAGATATTATCATGACTTTTAAGTCTATAAGGCCAAGCAGTCTGCTTCTATATTGATGTACTCTTTGACACATTTGGGCTAAAACTAACTCTTCAGATTCAAATTCATGCTCCAACCAACCAGACCAGTGATCATTCCCATGGTACTCTGCTGCCATCATCTGGCAAACTGAAGTTAAGAGCAGCAAATCTTAATACCAGATTTATAGAGTCCTGAGTCAGTGGGATAGGCTTGGAAGGAGTTATGACTGAGGATTAGTATGGAGCAGGAAGAAGAAATGATTATATTATGAAAAGAATAAAAAAGTCCTGAGCTTAAACATTAGATTGTAAATTGAAAGTCTTACTAATTTATTATTTTGATACTATAAAATGCATGTCATAGACATGGGTAAAAATTGGCACATATGCAAAATGAACGCAGGGCCTCTCTCTTTAACAAAAACATTTCCATATTTATATTAGAGAAACTTTCTGCTTTTAAATATTTATAGTAAAACAGCACCTAAAAGTCAGTTAAGTAAAGGGGTGCTTATGCATTTTTGTAAAACATTTTATTTTGCAAAATGATTGATAATAGTGCAAGCATATGAGTGTGAATAATTTATTTGCAAAAGTTTTTATTTTTACACTATGTTTATAGGGCTATGTCTATTGCACAAAACCATGCTACATTTTCATACAATATAAAGACTAGTGGCCCAGTGGAAAATATTTGTGCACATTAAAAGGGAATTAGAGGAGATATTTTTAATATTGCTATTTGCCCTTTCTCTATAATAGAAGTGTCAGAGACTAAAGAAAATTAGTAAAATGTATATGAAAATCTTTCTCCTGTCAGAATACGGGGCACGCCATGGAACCCAGAGTCCAGTCCCTGCCCAACCGCACAAGCCTTGAAATTGCATGAGACCTAGACCTGGCTGGCCCACCCACATTGGGTGAGATCCAGACCAGGCAGGCCCCAGCCCTGTCAAGCACCGCTGGGCAGAGGGCACAGCCTGAGGTGACCTATCAAGTTCCGCTGGGCGGGATCATGGCCTGAGGTCCCCTGTCAAATCCTGCCAGGTGTGTGTGGGGCAGCCTCAGGTCCCCTGCCCTAGCCCGGTACTACGCAGCTTCAGGTCCCTGCTAATTGCTCATTATGGCTCCTTATGAGAACCCTGCCTCCCCTGTGGGTGCAGCTATCTTGTGATGGTGCGAGGGTCAATTTGGATATTACCTCTTTATTATATAGGATATGTACATTGAGAGGATACTTTTGACACATTTTTCTCTTTTTTATTCACACCTTCTTTAGTGAAACATTTCTCCTATTTAGTCAAGCCTAAAAAAATCTGTATTGTTATAGAATTAAAAAAGAATCTATGGCCCTAGCCAGCTTGGCTCACTGGAAAGAGCATTGGCTGCAGACTGATAGGTCCTGGGTTTGATTCTGGTCAAGGGCACATGCCCATGTTGTGGGCTCAATCTCCAGTGTGGGGCATGCAGGAGGCAGCTGGTCAATGAGTCTCTCTCATCATTGATGTTTCTCTCTCTTCTTCTCCCTTCCTCTCTGAAATCAATAAAAATATATATTTAAAAAAGAATCAATGTTTAATTTTTGAATCCAAAATAGGGTGTTAAAGGCCATTTATTGAACAATATTTTTCAGACTGAAGTATTTCAGGAAATTATATCTACACTAATAAAAGAGAAAAATACTAATTGACCATACCTTCACTACACCCATAGCCAATCAGCGAAAGTATGCAAATTAACTGAACAAAGCTGGTAGTTAATTTGCATACACAGGCACTGAGCAGCTGGGTCCTAGGAACATCCTCCAGAACCAGGCTGCTCCTAGCCTGTAGGCCCATGTTTAGGCCCTGAGCAGCAGGGGTCACAGAATGCCTCTTGGCCCCTTGCAGCCTATGACTGTAAGTGCCAAGCAGCTGGGGGCGGGGCGGAAACATCCCCGCATCACCATAGTCACCTGGGGTCTTGGTCTCAGGCTGGCAGTTGTGCATGGAACCACACAGTAATCTAGAAATATCTATATATATCTATAGATATTCCTAGAGGAGATATTTTATATAAATATATAAATATATAAATATATAAATATATAAATATATAAATATATAAATATATAAATATATAAATATATAAATATATAAATATAAATATATATACACATATACATGCACCAATTTTGTGCACCGGGCCTCTAGTATAAATGTGTGTGTGTGTGTGTGTGTGTGTGTGTGTGTGTGTATTAGAGGCCTGCACCCTCTCTAATCTGGGACATCCCTCTCACAATACAGGACTGCTGGCTCCCAACTGCTCGCCTGCCTGCCTTCCTGATTGCCCCAACCACTTCTGCCTGCCAGACTGATCACTCCCTAACCATACACTGCCAGCCTGATTGATGCCTAACTACTCCCTAACCAGCCTGTTTGTCCCCAACTGCCCTCCCCTGCAGATCTGGTCACCCCCAACTTCCCTCCTCTGCTGGCCTGGTCACCCCTAACTGCCCTCCCTTGCAGGCTTGATTGCTCCCAACTGCCCTCCCTTGCAGGCCTGGTCCTCCCAACTGCCCTTCTCTGCTGGCCATCTTGTGGCAGCCATCTTTTGTCCACATGGGGGCAGCCATCTTGTGTGTTGGAGTGATGGTCAGTTTGCATATTATTCTTTTGTTAGATAGGATACATATATATGCCCCAAACTGTCTTAGAGTCTCAAAGGGGAATTGAAATATTCAGAGAACATGGAGGCAGGGCTGAGACGAAGCCCTTAATTTGGCATCTAGAATGGCAGCCTGAGAAGCTCCATGAACCTGCTCCTCAGGGAATCTCTGGTAGAATTCATTTGCCTTGCCTGTGAATGAGATGGACTAGATAACTAGTAAGGCTGGTTTCAGCCATCAAGGACTGATTCTCAGATCTTGTATGCCCAGTAAGGAAATGTCTGCTACTTCTTGGCTAAGTTCAAAGGGGCATTTTAAGGAATGGGACCTATCCTCTTCTTCCTGGCCACACCCCCAGAAGCTGTGTCGAGGACAGCCGGGGGTAAAGTGCAGTTACCTGAGAAGTCTCGACGGCTCTTGAATTTGCAGCTACATTTTCCAATTAGCTCGGGAGAATGCACATCACTGTGACAGGTGGCACAGTAAAAGGCGGCTCTGGACAATGAAAGCAAATCAAGAATGACTTATGTGAGACTTAACACTAAAGGAGCATGGTGCTGACTCAGTCTGCCTGCCATTAACTTGTATGTGCGTTAGGATGTTCTCCCCATAAAGTAATAAAATAAAAAAAATTACCTTCTGACATCCTTTGCAGATTCAGCAATAAAGAACCCTAATGTGTTCTTTTGCAACTTGACCTGTGCTGGTGGATTTAGTATCAGACCACTAGAGACAAGAAATAAAAATAAGGCATTTTTTCCAGCCAATATTTGTACCGATATTTGGTGTTTTATTTTGTTATTACCAATGGATTCTCTAAGTTGCAGAGTTACTAGGACAATCCCCTTTTACTTATAAACATGGTAGAAAATGTAAATTTAGTATAGTTGATACTCTAATTACTGCTAAATATGCTGAGGAAAGGGAGGTCACAACACAATTTGTACACAACTGAGCAAAGGATAAGTTCTTTCTTGGACTATGTCTTGAATCTGAGATGGTCAACCAAACTCAAATATATAAAGCCTTGATAACTTAGGCTATCCACTGACATCTAGGTCAAGGCCATACAGTTACTAGACTTACTAGTGGTGTTCATGCTTAGGCTATTTGACCTTTACAATTAAATTATGTCTATTAACCAGTTGGGTTCAAAAGTTCCTTTTATTTGCCTATCCATTTTCTGAACCTGTGTATTTCTTCAGTCCACAGGCCAAAGCTCTAACCACTGAGCAAACCCAGGTAGGGAAAACCTGTATATTTCTTTCAACTTCGTTTTGGTCTCCTGATTGCAAGATTTTTGAGAGTAGGAACAACATGAATTGTTTGTATTTTTACATTACTTGTATATTTTGATTTTTCCATTTTCTTATGGGTTGTATGTTTAAAAATCCTGACTTATAAATTTCACCCATCATACTCTTGATGTAGTAGTCTATTATGACTGTTTCAGTTCCTGTTATTTCTTCCTGTTTGTCAGATTTCCTGTTTTTTTCAGACCTCCAGTATGAAGAGGCCTTATAACCCTATAACTCCTCGCACTTCATTTGTGCATGAAGAAAGTATTCCTTCTTTAAAACACACTCTTTTATATTCACATTGGAAAGAGGTTAAGTCTTAATTCTGGAAAAGCTTTTTCTGCTGTTCTGCTGTTAGGGTAAGTATTAGAGCCTCACAAAAAAAAAAAAAAGAAGAAGAAAAAAAAAAGACTTTTACAACAAAAGCTCTTCAGCCCAATACCAACAGTAAAAAGATACTGAGGAGCTATGCTCATGTACATTATTACCTGATACATTGGCTCACAGTTTCTGAGTATTTACCAACTGATATTATTGAGTGGAATGACTGCCTTAACTTTCAAAGAGAAAGAACATAGACTTGTATTTCTCACCCCAAATATCACTGGCTACTTTTCAGTAGCTCTTAAGTATACTTAGTTGATTCTTCATATTTCTTTTTTTGTTTGTCTATTTTTTTATTTAGAGAGAGTGGAAAGGAATGGGAGAGACACACAGAGAAAAACATCAATGTGAAAGAGACACAGCAATTGGTTGCTTTCTGCACATGCCCCAACTAAGGCCAGGGTTTGAGCCTGCAACCAAGGTACCTGACCTTGACGGGAATCGAACCCGGGACCCTTCAATTCATAGGCCAATGCTCTATCCACTGAGCCAAACTGGCTAAGGTTTTAAAGGAATGTCTTCTGAACTCTTATTAAGTATTTAGTTATGAAGATTAATATTTGAAAGAAGAGGTGAACTGTTGAAGATTTTTTTTTGAACTAGCATTATTGCTTAATTCTTCTCATTAATCATGGCCAGTTGTTTTATTAGAGAATGTTTGCTACTGAAACAATCTCAGGTTATTACCTAACTGGGTCAGGTCCAACTTCATCTCTTAGCAGGTGACAAATTATTCTTTAAGACAAATCTTTATGATTATCCAGGGTTTTTGCAAGATGTAGAGTATATTCAAGTGTATCAATTAGAAGAGAAAATAAAAGGTGAAAAAAGAGATTTTCCACCAGTGTTTCAATATACAGTACTCATCTAAAGCCCAGCCTTTGAGACACCCATTTTTCTTCCACTTATTTATGACTATGTGGATGCAGTACAGCTTGGTTATCAGATTATGGCTCAGCCACTGGAGAGCAATGTGAACTTGGGAAAATTAGTTACCTTTTCTGGGCCTCGGCTCCCTCTTCTGTAAGATGCAACTAATAATTGTGCATACCTCACAGCATTGTTGAGAGGATTCAAGAACTAATGTAAGTAAAATGCCTACAGCATCATTGGTCATGAACTAGCAAGCATTTAGGAGATTGCTATTATCAATATCTTTGCCAAATCAGGACTTTGATTCACCTTTTTGGTGAGAAATCAAAGTTAAGACTATGTAGAGCAGGTTCCTCTTTCATTGTGGGTAGGTACATACTACATAGGAAATAGCACCAGGAACTCTCAAATATATATAGAAATTAGTTGCTTAATAGATATTCATGTTTCTGGTGTATGGTGTCCTAATAGTCATTCTAATAATATTAGAAATGTAGGATGTCAGGATTGAAAAAGATCTTAAAAGCATTTGGTCTAGTCCTGACTGGTTTGGCTCAGTGGATAGAGGGTCGGCCTGAGGACTGAAGGGTCCCGGGTTCGATTCCGGTCAAGGCATATACCTTGGTTGTGGGTACATCCCCAGGAGGAGGCATGTAGGAGGCAGCTGATCAATGTTTCTCTCTCACTAATGTTTCTAGCTCTCTTTCCCTCTTCCTTCCTCTCTGTAAAAAATCAGTAACATATAGTAAAAGAAAAAAAAAAAAAAGCATTTGGTCCATTAATATCCAAGTGCCAGTGAATAAACTATGTCATGGAGCTTTACAAAATTCTCAGGCCTCACCCTTAGAGATTTTGATTCTGTAAAGTTCAGAAGCTGGGTTTTAGAATATATAGTCTTTAAAACTTTGTAAATAATTCTGATGTGTAGCCCAGGTTGTTGAAGGGCAAAAAGATGTTTAAACTTGATCAAGTTGGGGGCCAGTCTGAAACCCAAGTTGCCTGGTGTAGGTTTAGATCTTGTGATTTTTTCAGGATTACTAAATAGAATGTAGCCAGCCAGATAAAACTACTTGTTAAATCTGTTTAATGACTTGCTTTGTACTGTAACCAATGATTTCTTTTGCACAGAGTCCTTCTGCATGCTCTCCACTTGCACAGAACTGTTGTTCTTTCTGGCCTTTCACATAAAGTCATTCCTGTGTAGCCCGTGTGCTATCACTCAGAACTACTGAATTTTGTCTGTTTCCCTGTAATTGCATGGTTCCTGGTAATGTTGGTTTTAGACTTGGAATGGGTCTTAGGTGTTAACATGAGTTCCTCATTTTACAGATGGTAAAGACTCTGTCAAGGCCACTGGACTAGCAAATGATAATCAGGACTAGAATTTAGTGTGTTGACTCTAATTTAAGTTAGTTTTGCACGGAAAACCACACATCAGCCAATGTCTTTCTTGTCTCCCATCTAATTAAGCCCCCATTTTTAATTTCATCATCTTTTCTCATTATGTTATTGTAGCTGATTCTCTATTTGTCCTAAATTTTTATCTTTTTTCTGACATGATAACTTATTTTACTTCTAACATTATCCAATAAGGGTTCTCAGGCAATGCTGGTAACATTATCTCTTTCCTTCATATCCCCTATTAATAGCAGACTTTTTCTATTGATAGTAGACCAAATTCACATTTTGCCATATTTTACAGAATTGTTTTTAAGACCAGAGTTAGTGAGAACATTTTTATCATAAATACTTCTATTGTTATGATATGGCTTCAGGGTCAAGATTTGCAAGATCTTGCCAAAACTGATTTGGTTCAGTGGATAGAGTATCAGCTTGTCGACTGAAAGATCCCAGGTTCGATTCCGGCCAGGGGTATATACCTGGGTTGTGGGCACATCCCCAGTAGGAGGTGTGCAGGAGGCAGCTGATCAATGATTCTCTCTCATCAATGTTTCTAATTCTCTATCCCTCTTCTTTCCACTCTGTAAAAAATCAATAAAATATATATTTTTAAAAAGATTTGCAAGATCTGGTAATATATGAACAGGAACAGATGTGAGAGGATGACACCCCCTGAAGAGAACTGGGGATGGGTCTTAGCAGCAAAGGCAAAGCACCTATCCACCCTTTACAGTAAGCATGTCAAACTCGTGGCCCATGGGATTCATGTCTCATATATTTGGCCCATTTTAACCTGTGAGTTTGACATGCTTGCTAGGGTAGCCATGCTAACCACAATCACTGAAAATATACTAAATTTACCACAGCAGCCTGGGCTGCTCTCTACAAATGTCAAAAAGCTTAGTGATGGTTATATATTTGGAAAAGTCTTCATCATAAAGATTCTACTAAAAAAAAACAAAAAAATGAAGAGATTTGAAGCCTCATTGCTACCAGTACCCGGAAGGCGAGGATTTGTGCTGGATGGCTATAAGCATGAGGTGCAGCTTCACAAAGCAGAGCCTGCGAAGGAAGACAGAGCATCATGAGGAGAGGGAGGACAGGAGGCCACTATTTCACACTACTATGACTAACACTTTGTGCTCTGTCCCTGTAGGGACACTAGCACTTCAGCCGAGGAAGGGCCTCCCAAATATGGAATTCCCACTTGCAAGTGGATCCATCCTAAAGTAGCTCATAGCCAGCATGCCAACTGAGACAGAGATACAATTGTCCCACAACTTCTCTAAGTTGCAGCGACTCAGACTTAGTCTGATCTCATATTCTTATATCTTCAGTGCTTGTCATGGAGCCTGGCCTACAGAAATGCCATCAATGAACATTGTTGAAAGACTGCTATTGTGTGGGGGGGAAAAATGAGGAAAGGGTTTCTTTTAACTTACAGGCAAACTTCAGGAAAAGGGAGTCCAGCAAAGTCATCAGAAAGGCGTTGAGTCAGGATTTTGTTCTTCAAGCTACTTAAAAAGATTTTTTGCCAGGGCTGTTTAGGAGAAACCTGTAATATACAATCATGCCACATGAAGCGTTTGATATGGAAGATGGGATGCTATAATTCAAGTTGTATATTTTGCTAAGCAGTAAACCAGCACCCACTGCACTAAGGTGATAGGAAGAAGACTTGTCCTAGTGCTTAACTGGAGAAATGTCAAAGGAAGAACTAAAACTCTAATCTGCACCTCAACTTTTTTCACTAAAGATTTCAGAATGAAATGGTAGCATTAAGACTTGTTTTCTTCCCAGATGGCACCCAATACTCCTTGCTGAAAATTATAATTCTTCTTCCAAAATTTTCAGTAAGGTAGGTTGATTTTTGAGCCAGTAATAACATGGGAAGGATAATATATAATCTAAGTTGTCTCTCCCTGGATATGGCTGTTTAAGATTTCTTTTTTAAGATACATTAGTTTTCTCCTGACTACCTATAGGCACATTTTATTGTGTTTCACTTTATTGCATTTCACATATGTTGTGTGTTTTTTGTTTGTTTGTTTGTTTGTTTGTTTTGTTTTTTCAAATTGAAGGTAAGGCCCTCAATTAGCAAAAATATTATGAGCCACTTTATTGAGATACTCACTTTATGGCAATGGCCTAGAAGTAAAACCACAATATCTCTGAGATATGCCTGTCAACACATACCACAAAGGAAAAATATACATGGCTTTCTGCCCAGTATCAGAACCCTTCATGAGTTCAAATGAACTCAGAGGGCCATCCTGATTAATGGAAATGAAAATGTAAAAATCAAGGATAGCAGTAAGTTTCTAGAGAAATGGGAGACATGAAGGGCTAAATGCAACCAGAGGGGACAGGGAACAGCTAAAAAACTCACCTTGGTATTTGTGTAGAATCCCTCAACCTTTCGTTATGCTCTTTTTGTATCCTCCTCATATTCTCCCTCTGCTTCTTTGAGAATCATTACCAAACTATTCTGACATGGCAGGACAGGCTCGTTAAAGCCCAGAAACTCAGGTAAAAGTTTATAATCCCTGTGAACTCTGAAACATGGTAGCCATGGAGAGGAAAGGCAAATTCAGAAATATTTCTCCCATGCTTTAGGGGAAAAAATTAAAACAAACAAAAATTTCTGCCCTGCTAAAAAAGATTACCATGCTGAAACTGGTTTGGCTCAGTGGCTAGAGTGTCAGCCTGTGGAGTGAAGGGTCCCAGGTTCGATTCTGGTCAAGGGCATGTACCTTGGTTGCAAGCACATCCCCATTAGGGGGGAGGGTAGAGGAGGCAGCTGATGGAAGTTTCTCTCTCATCCATGTTTCTAACTCTCTCTTCCTCTCTGTAAAAAATCAATAATATACATACAACTTGAATATGGTGATCTTTATATATATATAAAGATCACCATTTCAAGCAATCTAGGCATTCCTCCTACCCTTCCCAAGATTCACCTAAAACCCCTGCCTTTTCCCATACTCTTGAATTTCTCTGTTTAGGAGGGCTCACCTCACAGTGCAGTTCATATCAATATTTAAGTCCTTATTGCCATAGAAATTGACTTAGTACATCTAAACTAAATGATCCACTTTTCAAAAATGCTAAACATGATAACCATAAAAATGGAGAAGATTCCTGAGTTAGTTTTTTAGTTAGGTCAGGAAGGGAAATGGGAAGATAAGATGAATTTTAGGATAGAATTGGGGAGCTCAAATAAATCGGTTTAATCAAATCTAATGTAAATTTAAGCTTGTAAGGAAATGCTTTGTGCCTAAAACCAACCAGGAATGCTCTTCAGACTATAATTTACCATCATATATTCAATATAGCAGAACAAATAAACAGCTAAACAAAAGCATATATTATTGATTCAATGCCTTTTCATCTGAGTACTAAGAACTTTCACAAATGTTAACTCAATATTTGGAAAAATCTGGTTATGATATTAATAACACACATTTGTAGATATAAAAACAGACAGAAAGCTCTAACCAGTTTGGCTCAGTGGATAGAGCATAGGCCTTTGGACTGAAGGGTTCCAGGTTCGATTCTGGTCAGGGGCATTCTTGGTTTTGGGCACATCCCCGGTAAAGGGGAGTGGGAGTGTAGGAGGTGGCTGAATGATCTTTCTCTCTCATCGATGTTTCTAACTCTCTATCCCTCTCCCTTCCTCTCTGTAAAAAATCAATAAAATATATTTAAAAAATAAAACAGTCAGAAAGTTAAGTACATAATGAGAGAAAAATGGGACCTAAGACACTGAAGTCCTGGCCATTAAAACTAAGTCAATAATTAATTACAGACTCTAAAGCACCAGGGCAGCATACAGAATTAAAAAAAATGTTGCTCTGACTCTACCCAGTTGAGAATTTCTTAAAAAAGTGAGTTTCAGGTTTTACTTCCAAAAAAAAATGATTATAGCCATAAATATCTCTCAATTCCAGTATTCCAAAAACCATCTCATGATGATTATTGACATATAATGATCCTCAGTGAGGAAGTTACAACTTCAGGTAAAAAAAGAAAAAGAAAAGCATAATAGGGCTGGGATTCCATTTATACCTTCTATATTTCCTTGAAAGAGATGAGGTCTTCAGATAGAAAACACATTCCTTTTCATTTTCTTTAGTCATAGAGATTAAAATAACAACTATCACAATAGACACTGCAGTTACCTTCCACTCTCTAAACATTCAGCGCAGAGAGGATTTCCTGACAAGCCATTTCCTAGGTCATATACAGTGACTGCTAATTGAAGGTTAAAGCATGGTCAGTGTGGTAGCATCATGCTCATTTCCTGATGCCTAATGGGCATTTCTATTTATCTGTATACATTTCTATTTCTCCTCACATTCACAGAAAAGACTACAGAAGAATTTTTGTTTGTTTGTTTTCCAGTTAGTATTGTACTGGCCAGAGCATCTTTCACTTCTTTTCTTTTTCCTTAATGGCACCAGAAAAGAAACTGGAGAATATATACAAATTGTTTGAACTTATTGAACAAAGGAAGTAAAGTGTGAAGAGAGACCAGGAGGGAAATTACATGTACAAAAAATGAAAGTGTGGACTATTAAATGAAGAGAAAAGTGGACAATAGGATACCAGGCCCAGCTGAGGATTAGAACCTTTCCCAGAGCATTTCATGGAAATGGCATTTACAAGGCCATACTTTATGCTATATTCATCCATTCTAATAGTTTCTTTTAGCTGCTTATTCTTAGACAAAGGTTTCCTAGGATCTGATGTGGAAGATTCTGAATAAAACTATAGTCTTAGGGCATAGTGGTAAGACCACAGATCAGACAGTTCTAGTCCTGTTACCCACTTACTATATGACCAAGTTAGTTAACAACACAGACCTATAAGTAGGTTACTACCTGTATTTCAAATGCATAACACATAGTAGGCAATCAATCTGTGGTCATTATTATTATTACTGTATAGAATGGCCCAAAGTAATCTGAATATTAGATTTTAATTATTATTTGTATTATTATTGCCACTTGAGGAATATAATTATCATGTTGAGCATTTTGTTTTTAATTTATATTTAAGCTAGAGGCCCAGCATGCAATTGAAATCATGCAAGGAGGCACCCCGCAGGCCACTGCCAGAGTCAATCATGATGGGCTTCACAGGTTGCCAGGACTTGCGCCTGACTTCTGCCCCAGGCCCCCACTGCCCCTCTGCCAGTGTGCACTCTGGGCTGTCTGAGCCATTGAGCCATCTCAGGCAGGCCCCCTGTCTTTGTTTCTGTCTCCACTCCAGACCTCACCTGTGTAAGCAACCTCCTCCTGTCCTGCCCTCCCTTTACAGCATCCCAGCCTAATTTGCATATTACCCCCCTCTCTCTTAAATGTTATGTTATTAATGGAGAAGTCATATATATATATATATATATATATATATATATATATATATAAATGTTAATAACATAACATTTAATTACATTTATTTCAATAACTCAGAGTGCTTCTACATTTATGAATATATTTACATTCATAATATCATAGAGCAGGTAGGAAGCAGAGTTATGGTCTCTATTTTGCAGACAAATATTCAATATTCTTTGGCAAGAATAAAATAAATTGCTCTTTATAAGGTCAATGCAGTATCTAGGAACTCAGTCTAGATCTCTCAATTCCTTCCTAGCTCAAAAAGAAGTCAAATCTCATTTATTTGGGTCTTCTTGCTTTCCTTATTTTTTTACATCAATTTCTGATCCTAATATGTAAGAACACGAGGATAGAGCCAAGATTCGACATCAGTTTACAATGTTACCTTACTGTTTTGCTCAAGAAATAAAGATGTTAGAAAGGTGCACAAGCCTGGCACCAAACAGCCTTGAGCCATAAATCCAAGTTTTAATTCAGCAAAACAGATGATGTTGTCTCCAATAGTCCAGTTCCAGCTGGGAATCTTTGGCAGAAAATCCTGTTTCATGATAGAAAGTAGGTCAAACATTAAAAATAAATATAACTTTAAAAAGTTGTTTCTAGATGAATGTCTCTATTTTACTTTAAAGCATTTATTTTGCCCAGGTCAGCACAAGTGATAAGAACAAATTCAACATTTAGAAGTGGTTAGTGGTCAACTATTCCACTTTTTAAAAGGAAACTAGCTATAGTTAAAAAATCAGGTCAAAGGGCTTAGCTAGACCTATGATTCTACATTGAATTTACAATCTCTTTTGTTTATTTGTTTTTTGGAGAGGTTTTCTTATAGGATATAATTGATAATAACATTATATTAATTTTGGGTATACAACATAATGATTCAATATTTATATACATTGCACAATGAGCAAAACAATAAGTCTAATTAACATTCATCATCATAGTGATTATTTTTTATTGTGATAATAACTTTAGAGATTTCTTCTCTTTGTAACTTTCGAATATATAATAAGATATTATTAACTACTAGAGGCCTAGTGCATGAAATTCATGCACTGAAGGGTGTGGGGGGGTTTCCCTCAGCCCAGCCTGCACCCTCCCCAATTGGTAACACCTCAGGAGATGTACAATTATGAGTTTAGGCCATAAATCGACAGTCAGACATCCCTCTCACAATTAGGGACTGCTGGCTCCCAACCACTTGCCTGCCTGCCTGCCTGCCTGACTGCCCCTAACTGTTTCTGCCTGCCAGCCTGATCACCCACTAACCACTCCCCTGCCATCATGATCAATTCCTAACTACTCTTCTGCTGGCCCTATTGCCTCCAATTTCCCTCTCCTGCCAGCCAGATTGCCCCCAACTGCCCTCCCCTGCTGCCCTGGTCACCTCCAACTGCCCTCCCCTGCAGACCTAGTCACCCCCAACTTCTCTTTCCCTGCAGGTCTGGTTGCCCGCAACTGTCTTCCCCTGCAGGCTTGGTCTCCTTAACTGCCTTTCCCTGTAGGCCTGGTCCCCCCAACTGCCCTCCCCTGCCAGCCATCTTGTGGCAGTCATCTTGTGCAAGAGTGTGATGGTCAATTTACATATTACATCTTTATTATATAGGATAGCTACTATGCTCTATGATTATATCTCTATGATTTTTTAATTGAAAGAGTGAATTTTTACCCCTTTCACCCATTTTGTTCATTTTGTCCAATCTCATCCCCTGCTTCTGGCAATCACCAATCAGTTCTCTGTATCTATGAGTTAAGGGTTTGTTTGTTTGTTTGTTTGTTTACTTTAGACTTGGTATATAATTAACATCATAGCAATAAATATTTGCCTCAAGAAACAATAAAAGTCTCAAGTAAACTCCCGTTGGTTGTCCTTAACTTTTTACTCTTTAATGTATCTTAGTGTGGATTTCTTTGGATTTTTCTTGTTTTGAATTTTCAGCTTCCTGAATCTGGATGTCTGTTTCCTTCTGCATGTTAGGATGTTTTCAGCCATTATTTCTCAGATATCTCTTCTCTTTGTGAGATTCATAATGCAAATTTTGGTCTCATGATGTTCCATCAGCTACTTAAACTATCTTCACTCATTTGCATTCTTTTCTGCTGCTCTGGTTAGGTGAGTTCTACTACTTTGTCTTCCAGTTTACTGATCTTTTCTTCTGATTTATCTAATCTGGCTAAGCCCTATAATGCATATATTCTTCAGCTCTGTGACTTCTATTTGGTACTTTCTCATACTTTCTACATCTTTGCTGAATATTCACTTTTTAAATCTATTCTTCTCCAAAGTTCAGTGACATTTTTTACAGTTATTTTGAACTCTCTGTCAGGTAAGGCACTTATCTCTCATTAACAATTTTTCTGAGATTTAATCTTTTTGTTATTGTTGTTAAGAACACATATTTCTGTTTGTTCATTTTCCTTTACTCTCTGTGTTAGTTTTTCTGCATTAAAAAAAAACATCAATCCCTCCTGTTTGGTTGGCATCTCTTAAAGGAATGCCCTTGTGTAGAAGATGAACCTTATTAATCAACCCTGACCTAGCTCTTAGTTGTCTCTCAAACTTTTGTAATTGTCTAATCAGCCTACTTTAGTTTTAGTGGCTCCCGGTATTTGATAGTGTCCCTGTCAGTTTTCCAAAGTAAAGGATCTTATTTATCACTTAGATTCAAGCTGATTGGAAGTTAGACCATCAGGCAGCAGCTTTTAAAGTATGCAGATATACCTCTTTCTTAATTTACATTCATAAGTGATTAACAGTCTTAATGAGACTCTGAATGTCACCCACAATTGGCAAAAACCTTTCAAGTGCAAACCCATTTGGAAGTATTAAATTAATCTATTACATAGATGTACTAAATTCACCTAGCTCTATAGACTAGATAGAATAGGAAGAAATAATACCTTGTTATGGGATTGAAGTATCTGTATAATGACTCTGGTATTAGGGCTATAGTTCTTGACAGAGAGTACCCTACATAAACAACAAATACATTTATCAGTGATGGGCCACATACAATAGTTTTGTAATATAATTCAATTCAGTGTTAAATTGATATCTGGGAAAGCATAATAAAATGCCATATTATAAGTTTCATTGTTATCACATTCTCTAAAAATGTTCTGTTTAATAGAATACCCACTAAAGGTGGCAGTTGTTTTAGTGACTTAGTAAAACAAATCAATAAAAAGGTCAGCTCTTGGTATTTGGAGATTATGGTCTTCTGGGACCAAAGTTTGAAAAGGAAATAAATCATTTTGTATATATATAGTTTAAACTCAAACACATTAATTACAAGAAAAAAATAGAGGTTGAATTACTATCTGTAGCTAGAAATAGCTCATAGACACTCTTTTCCAATGTTCTTAGTTTACAAATTAAGAAATTAAAGTCTGTGTCATTTTTACTATATCATACATGGTGAAAATTCTCAGCTGTTTCTTGCTCTTTGTAGCATCACCTTCAAATATTTCTATTTATTTTGCCTGGGGGGGGGGGCGGGCAGAAGGTCACCTGGGTTAGGAACACTCATTGCTATCACAAGGATAATTGAATTCTGTTACACAAGTCTAGTTCATACTCATAGATAGTTCACAGTTAAAGATGGTAACACTAGTTCTAGACACCTTAAAAATAATTTCAGATAGTCATAAGCACATCAAAATAAATCTAAACCATGTGCAACTTTTCACCAGAACTACTTGGGGGCAGGAAACTATAAGTAAAGTCTAATAATAGGGTTCACATATCACCAAGAACATCTCTATTTTTGAGGAGGAGGAATGTTAGTAATGATGCTATCTGAACAGTTATCACTTATCTCTATGTTTGCTTTTTAAGTTTATATAGCTATTATCTATATGAAAACTCAGCAAAGTATGTGGACAAGCCCAGAGACATTCATAATATTCTTATTTCCAATTACTTTTTCATATATCTGCACTATTTCGGGGGGGGGGGAGGGGCGGGAAGGTGTGCTGTGACATCTCCTGCTTAGTCCTATGTACCAGGCTTTAAAAGAGGCAGAAATGTATCAGCATTGGATCACAAAATACCACAGTGCCAGTTTCATACCTCATGATGTTTGAAGTGTCTTCATCATGGTAATCACTGCACAAAGGGTTGGCTATAATCAGGCATGCTTCCGCAGATTCCACCTATTCTTCAAGATTGGACAGCAACCGTCTTGTTAATTAAGTGGGGAATGCTGTGGTGTGCCTCTTTTGAGTTCTCTTATATTTGTTTGTTGTTGTTGTGTGTGTGCTTTCATAAAACTTCGAGTAAGAAAGAGAACACAGTACGGAAGGAGTTCTGATATGGATGCAATCACATCATGAGCATAGTCCTGCAAATGCTGTAAGGACTGTGAGGGCTACAGTGGATGAGTTGCCTAGGGCACAAGGTCTCCAACATAGATATTATATTGCTATAAAATGGGTAAAGTGCATAGTTACTTTTTCCTATCATCCCAAGCATCAATTTATGCCTGATGATAAGTAATACGATCTTTTAAAGCCATTTCCTGTACACTTGTTTGCCTTTTAGGACAGCAAAGAAAAGAGGAACTGGAAGTCTGCTTAACTCAAAGTAAGCCATTATTCAATTGTGGATGCTAAATCTTAAGATTATAGAAAATTATTGATGTGGCTCTCATAAAACCAAGGTGCAGGAAAGATAAAGATTATTCTGAGTCTATAATTTTCTGCTTTAATTCTTTACATGAACATTATAGATCTCTGCCTTTAAAAAAAAACTGAAGACTTTTTTGGTTTATATGATTCTGTGAAACCTATAAAATGAGAGAAAGCTGTCTTTGATCTTAAATGAAAGCTGTCTAGAGGGTTGGCCTTTAATCATTAGTTTTAGTTCCAACCTTAATGGGATCTCTGCTATTTTCTTTCATGTCTCTCCTATCAGAAGTCATATCAGTGTGCTCAGAAATTGGTAAATCTGTCCTCTGGTAAGAATTGCATTTGAATGGTAAGATCAAACACACTTTGGCTATCCATAATTTTTTTTCAGATCTCTTAGACTGTGAAAATAAAACTGCTCTAGGTAGAGAACTTAGTGAAATAAATAATTTAACTATAAGTTTATATAAACAGTGAAGTCTGTTTGATATTTGTCAAGAAGAAACTGGAGGACAATTACTGCATCTCCTTCATGATCAGTTTTTAAAATTGAGAAAGTTGTATTTTCCCAAATTTAAGGGTCCGGAGTAATGCCTTTGAAAGAGACTAGATCCTATCATCTTAACTGTTGTAGCTGAGGTTAAATATAAAGAACAAAGAAAAAATAGTTCTTACCCCAACTCGCCTCAGATCCTCCCACTTCAACGCCGATCCAGCAACAAAAGTTGCATAGGCCATGTAGCACTTAAATATTGTTTGCAATTCTAAAGAAGGAGGAACCCTGTACAAAGAATGTAGGACCAAAGAAGAAAAAGGATGATTGACTTAGATACTGTTATATTTATTTGTATTTCCTCTTGGAACACACCTATATTTGATTCATTTTCAATCCATAGATGAGTTTGAAGCTCAGGTCTAAGTTGTTAAAGGAGTAGTCTATGTGTAAACATTTGGGAGAAATTGCTGGTAGACATCTTTCAAAAACAATTTACCACCTTCTTCCCTATGGCCACAGAATCCACAACCCTCTCCTGTACAAAATAATTTCATGTTCTCCCTCAAAATGTCATCTCTTTATAGCAATCAGGTCAAAGTCCTGCATCTTGTTATCTTAAGGTCTAGCTATATGTGGATGAGGCTTCTCAGTTATAGCTCATCCTTAGCTGAAGACCTGTGAACTAAATTATTTCCATCTCCACACCCAACATGCCATGATAAGGAATAGAAAAATTGCAATAAACATTCCCAATCAAAAGAGGTGAGGGTGATGCTCAGAGGAGGCCACAGACTGAAGGGGCCTGTATTTGATTCTAGGCAAGGGCACAAGCTGGGGTTAGGAGCTCAATCCCCAGTAAGGGGCATACAGGAGGCAACCGATCAATGATTCTTTCTCATCATTAATCTTTCTATCTCTCCCTTTCCCTTTTTCTCTGAAATCAATAAAAAAATATATACTAATAAAAGAGATGAGGGTGGTAATGAAGGGCAAATATAAATAACCAGAAATTAATACATAGAAATTCTGAAATCCATCAGAGCACATACCATGAGGACCCCCTACTCCAGCAACAGAGGGTTGTATTTTTTTTTAGCCTAGTTTTGTCCTTATGAGCTAATCCATTGTTCTTCTTGATTCTTTTATCTTCCCTCTGACCCTCTAATCCATCCTTTCTTTTATCTAATAAATGCTCCATGTTTGAATTTGAGAAGAGCTTGATTTCTGTCTGTGCTGCATTGGAGGTCAAGAAGATTTTTTTTTTTTAATTTTGAACTCTGTTCCTTTACCCCAAGCTGGCAGTACATTTTATCAGTAAAATTGTATTTAAAGTATAGACAAGGCTCTATACATACTATTCAGGTTCATGGCATGCCCACAAAGTCATATTCATGATTCCTCTCTACTTTGAGAAAGGCAGGATTCTGGGAACAATGTCCTCACATTCTTAGAAGCCCTTTGGCTAACTTGAGAGGATCATCAATGAGTCCTACCTTAAATCTTTCTGAGGTCTTAACAAAGGGTCCTCAACTGCATCCTTGACTGGATCTTTACATTTGACTTTGAGGTCATACTTCATAAGTAGCATCTTGGATTTGATTTTTTTTTTCTCCTGAGGTAATTTTCCTCTTTAAGTTTTTTTTTTTTGTTTTGTTTTGTTTTTTTTGTTTTTTTTCCCCCCCAAGCTGGAGAGACTGTTATGGGACTACTATATTCCCCTTCGGTTCTGCTTGAAAATTAAGGTGTTTCTTCTTCAGCTCAATTTCCATGTCTTATACACAATTATACAGTGGCAAATGACACTCAACATTCTTTTGGGAAATTTTCTTAGCCAGCTTCACGACTGCGCTAGGTACATTTTCTATCTTCCATGTTACTTTTAGTGACATGGTTACCAAAATTCTGTTCTTCTTCCAGTACCTAATAAAAAATTCCTCAATGTTCTTCTGGCCTCTACAAAGAGTCTCCATGCAACCTTTCCAGCCTCTGACTACCACTAGTTTCAAGGAAAAGACTATATTTTTGGCTTTTGTTATGACAGCACCCCACTTCCACTAACCATGTTTTATTTCTGTAAAACAAGCTCTTCTAGAACTTCTTGATCTAAAACAGCAATAATATATTATTTCTTATGATTTTTTGGTTGGCTGTTCTTAGCAATGTAATTCCACATAGTATTGACTGTGGCCATTCATGTGGGTACATTCATCAGATTTTGGGAGCTTGAATGACCAAAATGACTTCACACACGTGATTGCTTCCTCAGCTACCAGCCTGGAGCAGGTGAGAGTTTCATGGGCCTCCTCCCCAAGCAAACTATTCTGACTTTTCATATGATGGCTTAGGGTTTAAGACTCTCTTGGAGTGATAGTTGAAACTGCCAACTGCTATAGGCCTGAAACTAACAAAGTTTTGCCTCTGCTGCATTCAATTTATCAAATCAAGTCACCAGCCATTTCAGATTAAAAGAGATCAATCAATAAAGTGGCCTTTATAGAGATACAGGAGAGGTAAGATATTAACATTGAACAAAATTGTTAATAGTGGAAATGAAATGATAGAAATAGAATTAGAATTTACTTAGGAGACAAAAGGGATGATATTGATGAAAGTATACATAGGATTTGAGGGAAACAGGAATATCAAAGACAATACTTTGTTGTTTTGCTTTAACTACAAAATATGTAAAGGTTGGTGTGAATCTTATATACATTTCCTTATGAGATAAGAATGTTACTTCAATTCTGTCTGACTTACTTATTGAGTGATTAACCATTTGGGGGGAAAAAGAAGCTAACTCCTTTCACATTACACCAAATCAATTCCAGAGCTAAAATATAAAATATTTCCATATGAAAACATAGAACTCTTATAGAAATATTTACTATATCCTAAAACAGAGAGGCCTAAGAATGTAAGAAAAGCAAAAAATAAACAAAACAAAAAAAGAAAATAAGTGAATGGATTGAAGTACATGTAAATAAAATACTATATTAAAATGAAAGCACAGAAAATGGAAGGGCAAAGTGGGAAAATATATTTATAATATATGACACAAAACAGTTCATATTATTATACACTGAGTGCTCAAAAGCCAGAAAAATAACAGATGAACAGCCTTATAGAAAATAGAGTAAAAAATAAATAAATAAATAAAGAGGAATTTCAAAATGCACACACACAAAAAAAATGTTTCATTTCACTGGGAACCAAAATTATAAAGTAAAATAATTAGAAATCATTTTGTCCACTTTAAACTTTTTTTGTATTAAATATGTATGTCCCAGTGCTGTACAAATATTTGACTTGGATTATGCTTGTGAAAACGTAAACGGCATGGAACAAAATATCACCTATTTGAACTTTAGATTCCCAATCCTGATAATTAACAGTTATAATTATAATTATGAAGTATGCTAGACATGTGTGCAAAATTATGGTAATATATAATATACGATTAATCAGTATAGAATAACCTTAATGATCTGGAATCACTTAATAGTACATACGTATACAGAAAAACGTCTGGCAAGATATATTCTCAACTTTTTTTCAGAAATTACCTCTGATCATGGGATTACTTTGCCTTTTCTTTTTGCTTCTTATTATTTCCTACTTTTTCTATGGATATTAAAAGGGTCATTTTCTCCCATTAAAAATATCCACATATATTTCAAGAATTAATTTAGAGCCTATGAGCCAAACAGATATACTTACTCTCCCAGGAAAACAATCTCAGTGTGAATCTCCCCTGACTTATGACGGAGAAAATTCCTCAGGAAAGCAGTCACACTGTCCACAGTGATGTTTCCACAAACCACAATGAACCTAGGTAGCAAGACATATTAGCTGGATCATCTGAGGAACAGAAATATCTTCCTGTCTAGATTTAGAGGTAGAAAATTAGCCTAAACTTAAGGTTTTGTCTTATTTTTGTTAATCCTCACCTCAGGATATTTTTTCCAATGATTTTTAAAGAGAGTGAATTGGAGGGGGAGAGACATAGAGAGAGAAACATCGATGTGAGAGAGACTCATTGATTGGGTGCCTTCCACTCCAACCCTCACCAGTCCAGGGACTGAGCCTGCAACCAAGCTACATGCCCTTGCTCAGAATCAAACCTAAGACCTTTCAGTCCACATGCTGATGGACCAACCTCTGAGTCAAACCGGCTAGGGTTTAAACTTAGTTTTAAATACACTTGGCATTTGAGTCACCAAGGTTTTGAAAATGGAAACACCCAGGACAGTATCTCCATTATACAAAAGCAGTGTCAGATTTCTGTCATCTCCAGTTTATCTCATACAGGGTATAACTCCACACATTTGAATTACATGTAGCTTTTTAGGAATACAATAATAACTATCATAACTGCTATTTTTAAAAATATATTTTATTGATTTTTTTACAGAGAGGAAGGGAGAGAGTTAGAGAGTTAGAAACATCGATGAGAGAGAAACATCGACTAGCTGCCTCCTGCACACCCCCTACCGGGGATGTGCCCGCAACTAAAGCACATGCCCTTGACCGGAATCGAACCTGGGACCCTTCAGTCTGCAGACCTACGCTCTACTGCTGAGCCAAACTGGTTTCGGCATAACTGCTATTTTTATGGTTATTTGTAACTTAGACTTGAAATATGTAATTTGATTTAACTTTGCACTTGAGTCTTGATTGGCTGATCAAGTCATTTCTTCACTGAGGAATAATTGAGGCTCAGAGTGTTTAGTTGAGTTTCCCATAGTTAAATGTTATGGCTGAGACAGCACTAGAATCTAGGTTATTTATCTTTATCTTCTGCATGTAAAATTATCTAGTAGTTAGAAAAAGTGACTGCAATGGAAAGAAACCTAGGAGAGGTGCAAAAATATAAGCATGTAACTTTTATGGTGTAAATTAACTTTTATGGTGGAAATTTCCTTAGGCTTAACATATAGATATGTTTCCTGCTACTAACCAATTAAGAAAATGAAAAGCATAATTTTAGTGCAAGTTTACCTTATATTTTCTAGACCTTACTGGCTGATTTAGCTTGGGTCACATATCACTTTCCTGAGATAAAGGGGTCAAACTTTGGCTTAAGTAATTTATTTCATTATTTTCATTCATTGCACTATTTTCTTAGTCCTAGGTCTGTCATGGTCTTCATCCATTATGTTAAGAGACCATGCCAAAAGAATTTGCCTATATTGTGCTTCTTTCCTCTACAGTGGACAGAGACTAGATAAAAAAGTATCACTTTGAATTCAAGATCTCTGCTGCTTTCTTTTCCCCCCCAAAGATATGAAAAAGCATAATAGAAACTGAGATAACATATATTCACAGAGAGAAAAAGGTAAAATCAAGTCTGTTTTCCTCCTGGGAACAAATGACTGCGGCATGAACAAAGGAGATCTGTGGAAGTACTGGTAAAAAGGCTGACATTGCTCCTCCTTCCAGCAAACCTCTGCCCATGAATGAGCCCCATATGGTTTAGAGGAGTTTTGGCTAAGACAACTGAATTATTTCAAATTCAAACTGTGGCTTTAATTTGATCTATTATGTAAAATTAGCATGAGTTAGCCACATGCTTAAAATGAATAACAAAGTTAGTAATGGATATAAGAGAATAGATAGTGATAAGGAAGGTCCAAATATTGTCACAATCAATATTTGATAGTGAATGACATTATCTGCCATTTTAAGTTGACTTAAAGCACTTATAGGCACCTCTGTCTGAGTTTGTATCAAGTAGCAAATGCAATCTTCTTGCTATTTATTTTAACACAACCTCTTTAGTGAATGAATGATCCCGCCAATATATTAACCTAGATCAAGCAATAGGTGTTTAGAAAGAGGTCTGCGATTAGTAGAATATCTCAAACGGTAAACATTATACTTGAAAGCTACTTACTTCTTTCCTTTGAGCACTTCATAGGAACTAGTGTATGTCCTCCTGCTAATGAAGAGTTCCACAATCTCAGGGATATAGTTTGCAAATAATATCTAAAATGATCAGCAAATAAAAACCTTAGGTCTCATCATTTAATATAAAGGATACTGAGATTATAAAGAAGAAAAGAGGTACGCAAAACATTGTCTAACTTATGAGGGACATCATTGTGAATGATATTTTTTAAAGAAAGACCATGTTTCTTTCTTACTTCAGCTTTTGAATTTGATTTAAATTAAATAAAATGCTTTCCTGAATTCAAAATGGTGGAACAATGAAGGAAGGATATGCAGAAAGGCAATCTTCCTACACATTCTGTCCCCTCATCACTACAAAGTGCCCTTCCATGTGTTATTATTTAGGACCCTAGGAGAAAAAAAGTATATGGGACAGAGCAAAGTTAAGGGAAAAATAAATGAGGGGATATAGCAGTGTTGGACAATGGAATATCAGAAAGGTATTAATAAAGAATGTGGTATGGTTTTAAGGAATTGAAATTAGAAACTTGACACACACTGCTGAATCATGTACAAATGTTCACTTATCTGAAGGGAAATGCTGGTTTGGAGAGCTTACTCATTTGAGCTGGAAGGAATAGAACTTCCTTCAGATCAAATCTCAAATTCCCTTCCTCTTTGGAGGAAAGACTTTAATTTGATGGGCCAAAGATGAAGGAAGACAGGCATGTCGATGTAGAGGCTAATAAGGAAAATTTACTCTCCTTTGCTGACCCTCCTCATCTCTGGCAACCAAGTACTGTAAATTACTTCATGTGCTCTGGGAGATGCAGTTTGGAAAAACATGGGATCCGTATATATTTTCATACTTATTTGACATCTGATGATGTAACATTCACTCTTAAAACTATACTGTTTTTTTCTCACCATTAACCAAATGCCTTTCATTTCTGTGCTACATTCAAAAGATATTAAAAATATTCTTCACCAAACTCCCCAGTGTGAAGAACATGATGAAGGTCCGTCCTAGGGATGTCTTGGGTACCACATCTCCGAAGCCAACAGTTGATGTTGTTGCCATGACCAAGTAAATAGATTCAAAATACGTTAAGTTCTGTGAATTTCTACCTTTGAGCCAGGGATCACCAGAATTTTCCACCTGTCAACAGAAAAGAATTCAGGAAATGGAATCCAATGGAAAGTTTATAAAAAAATAAGCAAGAATACTTAATTCAAAACAAATGAAATATTAAATGATTCATAGGCTGCTGGGAAGGGTTGATAAATTAGGGTAGTGATTGTGAAGTCTTGGTATTTTCCCCCCCACTGTGATTGTTGCTGAAATCTAAGAGGGCATGTAGCTCGAGCTCACATGTGGAATCCTCCCTAGTGTAATTTATTGCCCATATCTCTTTTCATATGAGCACATCACCACATTCTGGAGCCATCATGGACACCAAAGGATCTCAGGTTTAGTAATTACTATTCATTCTCATTTTTTACCAGATCAGGTTTATCTATCATTAAAGAAAGAAGCACAAAATACGCACTTCATTTCAGTGAACTTAATTTCATAAAAGCAAATACCTAAGGAAAAGCAAACAAATAAGTTTTCCAGGTTGCTTCCCCTACTCCCCAAAAATATTTTTTCAGCAATTAAAAATACTCTGAAAAATATTTTCTCTGACATCCCCCCTAAATCTCCATGTTTTAAGGAAACTAAATTTATCAGGTTACTTTTTTATATTAAATAAAAAGAGCAACTTAGGCAATGACACTATACTTTATGTATATATAATATATATAAATTTATTATAAATATACAATATATATTACAAATAACATATAACAATGATATAAAATATATACAATTTTCTGTTTTTGACATTTTTAGACATGTTTTCAAATAGCTTACATATTTCCTACACATATTCCTTTTCTATTTGACACAAAAATGATAAAATTCTAAAGATGCCTAAAAAAAGTAGGTTTTTTGTTTTGCTTTTCAGAACCGGAATGGAAGTTAGAAATAATGTAGTTTTCTCAGGCACATGATCACTTTGTAAAAGTGATATGTATGCCCAATGCTGACCCTAGTTTAAGTATGATGAGTAGGTTATGAGTGTGTACTCCTATAATATCCCAATCTGATGTAAAAAAGAAATTGTATGTCTATACTTAATTATCATAGCTGGTAGTAGAATCTGTTTCTACTGACTTTTGGAGTCTTCACTATTTTCTGAGACTATATATATATATATATATATATATATATATATATATATATGTCCCTCAGCCTGGCCTGTAGGGATCGGGCTGAAACAAGCAGTCCAACATCCCCCAAGGGGTCTTGGATTACCAGAGGGTGCAGGCCAGGCCAAGGAACCCCACCAGTGCATACATCCATGCACCGGGTCTCTAATTGTCCTATAAGAAAACTATATATATATATATATATATATATATATATATATATATATATATATTTCATACAGAAATACAAGAGTTACTTGGGATTGTTTCCTTTATGCAAAGCCTTAGAGTTTCTGTTAATAACATCTTAACACATGGTTTCAATCACAACCTTGTACAACATGTACAAACTAAATTTATTTTAACCTGGAAATTGCCTTCACAATAATTTAGCCCTTTAATGTTTAACTCACTATTTTTGGCAATATTACTTTAGTGTTTCAAACCTTTCCCTGTTCCTCCCAGCACCCCTCAAAGACATGGCAGCCTCTCTTGGTTGGCTTGTTAGGTCTGCTCTTCCTCTTAACCATATTAGCAGCAACCTCTAAGCCCAGGTGAGAAGGAAATTAAAGTTAAGATAAAGGATTATGGACTAATGTTAAGATAATGATCTATTTTTAATTCTTATTACAAAGCAACTGAATTTTTATGTTTTTAAATTCTGTGTTTCAGTTTTACATTAATGTGCTATGGAAGAGGTGGATACAGGAACACTCTCCCATCTTCTACCTCCACATGATTTGTATTAGTTACATTATTTTTACACTAGAGGCCCAGTGCATAAAATTTGTACACAGTTTGCCGAAACCGGTTTGGCTCAGTGGATAGAGCATCAGCCTGCGGACTGAAAGGTACTGGGTTCAATTCCGGTCAAGGGCATGTACTTGAGTTGCGGCACATTTCCAGTAGGAGGTGTGTGGGAGGCAGCTGATCGATGATTCTTTCTCATCGATGTTTCTAGCTCTCTATCCCTCTCCTTTCCTCTCTGTAAAAAATCAATAAAATATATTTAAAAAAATTTGTACACAGTTAGAGCCCCTAGTCCTGGCCAGAGATCAGGGCCAATCAAGTTCTCCACCTCCCGGCCTCCCAACCTCCTTCTTCCCTTGCTCCCTCAGTGCCCCACCACTGCCACCTGTCATCCAACATGTTCTATGCCACCACCCCCTGGTGGTCAGTGCACATCATAGTGAGTGATTGAGCTCCCGGTCAAACTCTCAAGGGGACAATTTGCATATTAGCCTTTTATTATATAGGATTATATGTGTGTGTTTGGTCATAATCACAATTCCCATAAAAGTTAGCAAGAAATGAAAGTAAAATACAAACATAATTAAAACAAATAAAATGTGACTTTAGGCCACATTCAGCCTGAGAGCCTCTCATTGGAACTGCTATTGAAGGCAAGAAGTCCTGTTGCCATAGTTTCTCCTTAGCATCCTCTTCCTCCCATTCTGTGATGGCAATAGGTGTCAACAGAGACAATTCTTCCTGGGAAGCCCATGCCCTTGGACCAACCCTCTGGCTCCAGGGACCTTACTGCTGTGATATTTCTTTCAGGAGAATCTCTTGTTTGCTTGTTTCAGTGCTGAGAGGGGAAATGGCTGGTTGAACATTTTTTGAAGGTTCATATATCACAATTCGCATTTGTAGTTTTATGTTTTTCTTGTTATTGCTTTAATTAATTTTGAGAAAGGGACTCACATGAAAACTCCTACTTTTTTTGTTTTGCTTTGCTTTTCTCAAAGGCCTCTTTAGACTTTTAACATCCCAGTTCAATTTCTACATTTTCTAGGAATTTCTTTCCTATTGCTGAAGTCCATTTATTATATTGCTGAATAATGTGGGCTAAAAACTAGCTTTATCATTAGGCAACGGAGACAGCTATGTATACAGATTCATTTCAGGAGAACAAATAAATTCCCAAAACTTCCCTTTACAACTCAGCAACACTTCCCCCACAATTCTCCAGCTTTTATACTTAAATTCTAACAGTGGCTTTGACTTCTTATTCTTTTTAAAAGTTCTGGAACCTTTATGAAGATGCAGAAATAAATGTTCTCTATTGCTTATACCTTTGAAGGGTAAGCTTTATTAGATCCTTTTCAGAGTGTAGGTTTTGAAAGCTTGAAGGAGGAACATTTATACCTTGAGGTTAGGAGATACATATTTGTCATAAATATGGGAGTGGAGAAAACCCTGAAAAGGGAACTAGAAAGATAAACCTCACACCAGTTACAGTGATGGAGACAGGAGCTTAGAAGGATTACCCCCATTTTTTAAAGAAAAGACATTTATGATGACCGGCACCATTATAGAGAGTGTGATGAGATGCTTACCAGGTGAATGAATCCTGCAGCCGTGAACCAGGTACTGAGCACTATTGATAACAATTTGGCAAACTTCAATGCATTGCTAGAGGAAGAAAGACAAAGAGCTGTTGGGTTCTGACAGGTCCCAGAACAACACAAATGCCTCATCTTCTAAAATTCTGCTACTCAAAGTAGGGCTCATGGACCTGAAGCAAGGATATGCTCACCTAGGAGTGCATTAATGCAGAACCCCAAGCCCCATGCCTGGTCTACAGATCTGCGGTGTTATAAGGTCCTCTGTCTGATTCGTATACAGGTTAGCATTGAAGATGCACACACCCGGTTACATACATTTGATGAAAAAACCTTAGATTTTGCTATGGTATCCACTGGCCTAATGTTATACTGCATTCAAAACATATTATATATGTATCATAATAAAGTAAATTTAATAAATCGCTACATTGTCTAAAGGAATTGTACAAATGTCAGTGTCCCAAGCATCCAGAGTGGGCTTGCACAATGATATTGAGTAGGTCACGGAACTGTAGTTCCATATTGCCAGCCTCAGCCCAGGATCTTTGAGTGAAAAGGACCAGATAAGCTCCTGCCTCCTAAATGAAGCCCTATCATTTAGGTGAAATCCTTGTAGGGCCACTTATTACACAAGGACATGCTTTTACCATCTTGAATTCGATATCATACATAAACATTTAGAAGCAAAATACGCCTGGCCTGTGATATTGATGTTTCTGATGAGAACACAGAGACACATGGACATATTGAGTGGGTAACAGAAGACCATACTGCTAAAACTTTAGAAGTACTCCTATATTGCTGCTCAAAGATAGTGTGAATTAATTTTTGAGACATTTGTAAGCAATAGTTCACTGCTGCTACTGGGCAGCTCTCATGCTCAGAGGGATAGTCTTAGGTCCCAGCCAGGAAAGACATGATTCATAACTGCAAATGTATAGAACCGAAGCCTCAGAATTGTTCTGAGTTTTTATTTGGGTAGAGGTGGTAGGGGAACCAAAACCTGAATGGACTTACACATTGTGGCTCTACAAAACAAAGAAGAAACAAAACCTTCAAAATGATTGCAAACTTTTCAGCTAGTGTGTAATGTTTACACAGTGGGAGGAAGTGAGAGAATACTATATTGGCAGCTCTAGGATTTTGTGGTTTTTTGCCCTGAAATTCTGAGGAGAAATTAGTTGAATTGAAGGTGAAGTTAGCTTTTTCATTTCCTAATCCCAAACAGTGAGTGAGTAGTATTTGAGGAAGGGCATTTACCTGGTCTTGATAGCTCTCAGAATTTGCAAGATTTGAGGGAGTTCTAGGAGCCGCAATGCTCTTAGGAACCTTAAACCTAGAAAGCAATAGAAAGGAGAATGCTGCCAAAAGAAGAGGGTTACTCCAGAGAGTGAGCTGAATTATCACACACTGGGGCGTAGTTACATTCTTCCGCTTCTTGAAATGCTCAAATATATAATAAAAGCCCAGTGACTGAAATGGTGGAACAACCAGAATGACTAGAGACCAGAACGTCTGGAGCCTCTTGCCCCAGCTGGCCCTGCCCCCCAGCAGGGACCCTCACCTAGATCTGGGGTCCCCAACAGGGCAGGCTGGCCGGCCTCCACCTGTGCACCAGGCCTCTAAAAGGGTAACATAAAAATTGATTTTAACGGTGAACAACCAGAATGGCTGCTCAACCAGTCACTATGAGGTACACTGACCCTTCCTGGTCCCTTCCCCTGGCCAGCAGGCTCCAATTGCCCGATGGCAAACAGGGAACTGGGGTGGGTGGAGGTGGGGAGACATGGCTGGGGAGCAGCAGAATGGCCAGCCTCTTGGTTCCTCTTCCTGGCCAGCAGGCTCGGATCACTTGATAGTGAACAGGGAGCTGGGGTCAGTGGCAGGGGGTGCAGGCAGTGGCATGCCAAGGCCCCTGCCCTTCAGGTCATCCCCCACACAGAGGGCAACCCGCAGCAGGAATAGGGCAGTGAGCTGTGGGAATAGCTGACCTCTTGGTCCCTTTTCCGAATTATCAGGCTTCAATTGCCCAATGGCTAATGGGGAAGTGGGGGGTGGGGAGGGGAGGGGAGGCGGGAGATGGGAGGGTGTTGAAGGGGGCGGGAGGGCAGGTGTGGGCAGCCGGAGAAGATGGCCCTGATCACAGGCCAGACCAAGAGACCATACCCATGCACGAATTTTGTGCACCAGGCCTCGGATAAATTATAACATTGTAGATTTAAGAATATGAGTTCTAGTTCAAATCCTAGCCCTGACCCTTAATAGGTGTTATAATCTAAAGGAATGCCCTTAACTTCTCTAACTCTTAATCTGTAAAATGGGAATTATAATAGTACCTGGGGTTGCTGAGCTAACAGAAAGCATATAAAAGCACTACTTACATTTCACTTAATTCTTCCTTAGGATAAAAAACAAATGATCTATAATCCATTTAAACTGTTGACTACAGGATATCTATAATATGCTTCTCACATTTGTATGATGCTTTACTTTATGTAGTTTTATAATAATGATAGCAATAAATATTTTATAGATAATAAGTAAAATTACATAAAATTAAAGTTAGAAAAAGCAAAATAACTCACATGCACTGACCACCTTAAAGACAAAGTAACTATAAATCTCTAATATGTTGTAACATGTCTAGATATGATGATCTATAGCTTTCAAAGACCAAGAGAGATTTTTTTCTTCTCTCCTAGTCCATGTGGGATCCCAGCACAAAGGGGCCCCGGGGGGATGGGAAACTGGGGCCTTGCCTCTCAAGTTGTGGAGGAGCCAGTCTATTAACAATAACAAATACCAACACCCTCTGTTCATCAGGTACATTACATTTCTAGGTACTGAGGTTTAAAAAACAAAGAGGGTTCTGAAAATATATTACAAAACCATACAAGTTTAGTGAGGTACAAGTACAGTGATGAATTTTTTTTAATGGCATTTGGGCATTATAAAACAAAATGAAAGATACTTGTGAATGAATGTTAAGAGAGTGTTGCTCATTCTAACTTTATACTTACCTAGCCAATTACTCTTCAAATAATAAGAAATAAATGTTGGTGGGATGGTAAAGATGTCTACAATTGAGTTCATCTCCAACCAGAACCTGACCTTGTCATCAGCTGCCAAAAACTATGAAATGGAAACAAAAGACCCCAAATTCTATTACCCTCAAGAATTTTTATGAACACTAGAGTGCCTTTATTTAGCTACATTTCATTCATTAATTGGAGTTTTGATCTAATTCTATTATGTACATATATATATATACACACACACACTTATATACACACATATATTTTTACATAGCTATATGATCTATGCATATATGTAGACATAAGGATTGCACCTTTAGTAGGTGTTCAATAAATGAACATAAATCCATTTTATTTTTTTTATTTACTGGAACTTTAAGTCTCATACTCTGACCTTTCTGCTGTTCCCAGAGTTTTATAATTATAGAGCTAAAACCCTCTGCTTATGAGCAAAGAAGAAACGTGATTTAAGGTGGTCTTCAATGGAAAAGGTACAGTTATCTACAAGTATGGTTGGCCAAGACTTGTATTTATGAGCTTCCCTATTTAGAATAAAAAAGAGAGTATTTCCAGATGGAGAGTTTGCCATAACAAGAAGATTTTGATGATCAGTGTGGTCAGAGTACGTGCTGAAGGACAGTCATAGAAATACACATTACAAGCATATGTATAAGGTATATTTTATCTATATATATAAAAGCCTAATATGCAAATTGTTCCCTTGGGAGTTTGACTATGAGACTGGGAGTTCAATTGCTCTCTGTGATGTGCACTGACCACCAGGGGGCGGCACAGAATGAAGAAAGGCCCTGGCCAGGAGCCAGAAGGCCTCATTTGGCCCTGATCACTGGCCAGATCTAGGGATCCTTCCCAAGCACAAATTTTGTGTCCCAGGCCTCTAGTATGTATATAAAAACTTGGAATGCACAAATACAAAAAAGTACTTTATATAGTTAATGGCACATCAGCTATCAGTGAAGCCAATGACATTTTCAGAGGCTTGTTATTCAGGTTCTGTTAGCTTGTGATTATTAGTAAAGCTTTCTCAAGGTATGTGGAAAGCCAATAAAGAGGGCAGTGTTACTGGGTAATGATATTTTTTAAAAGATCATTTTTATCTGTGTCAGAATTTTTGGCCTGGTTGACAGCTTCAAGTGCAGGTGAGAGAGCTATTATGTCTCACTATACTTTTAAAAACTTAGGACATAAACCCTCTAACTCTAGTGCTTGACAACATAGAACAATTGTATAATGAAGGCACACACAGATCTCTCTGTGTTGTACCTGTTGTCTTTGTCTGTTTACTCCCATTTCCAATAGGTACTTACTCTCAACCCAAAATAGAAAGTAAAGAAAGCATTGAAAGTCAAATCAATGGGGATGGTTTTGTCCTCATATGAAGAACAGCTTCCAACAGGGCTGCAAAGGAAACAAAGACAGTTTCTAAAGACATACATTTTAAAAGCTGTGTCTACATTGAACCAAATTAAAAGGAAACATAGGCAATTTTTTATTTATTCACAATGACACGTAAGTCCATATCTCAAGGAAATTTTCTGTGTCTTGGTAGTAGAGGTATGAATAAATAAAAACACTAGACTATGCATAGAGCTGAAAATAAAAGGAAAATTACCTGCTTTTTCTTTCCTAGAGTTTATTGCTTCTATTTCAGTTTTATCAGCAGGGATGCAGAGGCCTAAAGATTATGTGGCTCTTCTTGGTTTGCATGAATCTCTGTACAGAAGGAAGTTTAGGATTCTGTACCCTTCAAATATAGAGCTCCTCTAGATCAAATGAACTGACTCAAGCCAAATTAAAAAAAAAAATCCTACAAGATCAGAGTAAGGAATTCAGAAAGCAAAGACTTCTAGTTTCCCTAGGATCTCTAAAGCTGCCCAACTTCTGAGCCCTGAAACCCCAATTTTACTTCAGCTGGAAATCCAAGGAAATTCCCAGAAGATCAGCATGGGGTTCAGATTAGACTGGGTTCTGTTCAAGAAACCATTGTTGCTTTGTCATAAAAGAAGGAAATGCCTTCCGTGAAGAGCAGACAATAATTTGCTCCTTTATCCCAGGTGAGGTCTAGTATTTTCCTTTCTCAAGACTAACAAAGTTGTCTAAAATCTATGAGCAACACTGAAATGGACACAGAACTTCCACCTCAATATCTCAAGAGTCCAAAGGCATATAAAAAGAAAGCCCTCCTGCCAAAACTGGTTTGGCTCAGTGGATAGAGCGTTGGTCTGTGGACTGAAAGGTCCCAGGTTTGATTCAGGTCAAGGGCATGTATCTTGATTGCAGGCACATCCCCAGTAGGGGGTATGCAAGAGGCAGCTGGTCGGTGTTTCTCTCTCATCTATGTTTCTAGCTCTCTACCCCTCTCCCTTCCTCTCTGTAAAAAAATCAATAAGAGATATTAAAAAAAAAAAAAAAAAGCCTTCCTACGTGGCCCAAAGGAGAAGACAACTTCTGGAGGTGTGCAGTTCCAGAGATCATGGAATAGACATGGGCATGGCCTCCCAGCCACTAGCAATGCAGTTTGGCAGGATGCAGAAGCAATTCATGAATTTTTTGTGGAGTTGGTTTTAGTGTTTTCAGGGGGAATTAAGCACTTATCCTTTTTAATGAGCTTGTGAGTGGGAATATGTTTGAAAGTATATTAATCATTTTTCCTGAAAGAAAATTCTGGGTTCAAGACAATCTTATGTTAAAAACAGACACAGGTGACTGAAGATTTTACTTACTCAGCAGAATTGATGAAATAGATTATAAGAGACCCAATGCTTAGTACAAAGACAAGGATCACCTGAAAGAAAAATAGAGACAAATATACATATCCATTTTATTGACATAAATATAGATGAATAAACAAATCAATAAACCTGTGTTTTCTTTTTATCTTGCATCTACATGTGTAGCCATTTTTCACAATTCATCTATGTTAATATTCATTCATTCATTCATTCATTCATTTTTTAAAGAAATTGATTGGGCCTTTATAGGTATTCAATAAATGAACGTGTAGTCACTAATTTTATTTACTTAATTTTAACTCTCACACAGTTAATAATAGTTTGCCCTTCCTTCTGCTGCTAAAACTTTCTAATCTCAAGATGTCCTATAGCTTATTCATTCATTTACTCATCAACCATCTATTAAGTGTTTAATATAAGTTGTGTACTTTATTACACGTTAGAAAATGAGGGCTACTGGATATTGACTTGCGAGTTGAATTGCCAATGATGTTGTAGAAGAAACAGTCCCAACCATGACCATAAAAAGATGGTCAGAATTTTAACAGGAGGGAAAGTGCTACAGTGAGAAAACAAAATGAGTGCTATTAACCTGCAATGTTCCTGGTCTATAAAATAAGCAGGGCTTGTAGAATATAATTAGAAGTGTACCCATGCAAAACCCATGATGCATTTGGATGAAATTTTTCACAACCCCAGTGAATTTTCAGGTCAACTTCAGGTAACCAAATATTCCTTCACTTATTGCCAGTTTCCAAACCATTTGCTTCTTTAATATGATCAATCTAGTGTAGTATTAATAATACTACTAATAAAAATTAAGTTTATTTAGAATTAAAGTTTTACACACCACCAGCCCAGGTATTTCTGGAGCAGGTTACCTGTACTAAGAAAGAGGTCAATTTCTTCTCTAGTAACCATTTTAAGAATTTTTATTCCTAGTTGCCCACCAACGAGGCTATCTGTGGCCTCTGCAGAATTGTAGGTCAGTGTGGAAAAGTGGACAGGAAGGGAAGGTCAGAGTGGAAATGCTGGACTTGACTGTTCTCAGAAAACAATGTTCTCACCCTGGGGCCTGAGCATGGAAAGTGTGCAATGTTCACTTTCATGAATTCTTTCATTGCTCTTTGGAGAACCCAATTAAATTCCTTCAATAACTATTTCTTAATACATATCGTGACCCAAGTATTATTCTGGTGATTGGGATATACCAACAACCTATACACAGATCTCTGTGTATATGAAGCATAACTGATATGGTATGTTAGAAGGTATGTGCTAGGAAATAAAAAGTAGAGCAAAATAAAAGGGATCAGAACTGCAAGAAGAGGGGCAGAAGAGTTGCAGTGTTGATAATATTTAATTGCTATATGTCTCATTTGTGGTTCCCATGAATTGTATGAAAACATTCTCTCACTGGTTGCTCACAAACCTTTACTCTGTACATCTCACACTCCTATATTCTGTGGGAACCCTTACCCACCAAGTGCTTTCTTGATCGGGTAAGAAATGCTCTCACATGGGACCCACATCTTGCCCATGGACCAGATCAAGTGTTCTTTGCCACCAACAAACACTGGAAGGAGAGATTATCTTCAGTGTGGCAACTCCTCTGGCATAGAGCAGTTAGCCGGGTAGTCCCTTATCAGAAATGAACTAGATACCAGTTCACTGTGTCCCCAAAATTCAAAGAAATGCAAATTGCAATTTCTGAGTGGTCTCTCCTAAGCCTTTCTTTGGGCTTGAATATGAGAGGATATACTCCCATGCTTCTGCCACAACAGAACTCCTTCCAAAAATCCTTTTCTATTCCCAACCTACCCTAATTTACATGTGATTGAGTAATGTGCTAAGAGCTTCAACTGCATTTCTTCTAATTGCTTAGTAAGTGACAGTTTGCAGCTTATTTAAAACATAAGAATTATTGGCATCTATTGTATTTTATCATCTAAGTTAAGTGATGATGAGATAATGCTAGGCTCAGGAAAAATACTGGCAGTGGAGATACATATGTCAGCACATTAATAATTACTAATACATTATATTCATGAATTTTTAAATTTCTTTACATATGAACATATTTTTTGTCTTACAAATTTGATTTAAAAAAAATTCAAGCATAAATCATACATTGATAGGCTTCCAGAAAGATAGTGGCAAGCCATATGTTTACAAACCTCCAAAATGATAAAAATTTAACAAAAAGAGAAAAAAATTAGTTTTATTGAAGCTGAGAACATTATAAACCTTATGTCACAAACCTAAAGAACATTATCTAGAAATAATACACAATAAACAACAAAATGTATAGCAAACCAAAAGAAGGACTGGAACCTAAATGCTTGCAAACACTGCTCAGTGAGTCAGGAGAAAGTGAAAGGCAATTCTGAGAAGACCTCCTGGGTTGAAGGGGCAAAATCTGAAAAGCTAGCTACTTGGCAGGGGTATAAAGCTATTTACCTGAGGTACAGATCAAAGAAGGAGCCACAAAGCCAGAGGGCCTAGGAGAGACATCCTGAAGCCATGCAGTTGCTAAGGGGAACCTCTGAGCTAGGAGCAACACCACAGAAAGCAATCAGAAGAAACACACTCACACACACACACACACACACACACACACACACACACACACCAAACAAACAAACAAACAAACCCTGAAGAATTTGAGATGTCATCCATAGAGTCTCATGTGCAGAGCTGCTGGCCACAGACAGCATTATCCCTTAGGTATGTTTGTGTGGGAAAATGCATAATAAATTGAGGCTTTGATTTCCACAGTGGGCCTTAAATCCCCTGTTTAGTTGGTGGATAATTATGGGTATCTTCAGAATACAAGCAGCACAGGGAAGGAAGTGTTTCATTTAAAGTAATTCCTAAATCGCCCCATATTTGCTCACAGATGAAATTTCAAAGTCTAACCCACAGCAGGAAACTGGCTTGGGGATCCTGGGGGCCTGTAGCTGGCCAGAGGGAACAAAGCTGGGGTCCCAGGGCCTGTGGCTGGCCAGAGGGAAGCCTAGGTCCTGGGTACAGGGGTGATGCAGATGTGAAGTGGTTAGGGGTGATCAGGCCAGAAGGAGAGTAGTTAGATGTGATCAGGCTGTCAGGGGAGCAGTTAGAGGCAATCAGGCAGGCACAGTGATTAGGGGTGATCAAGCAGGCAGGCAGAGGTGGTTAGGGGCAATCAGAAGGCAGGTAGAATGGTTAGGGGTGATCAGGCAAGAAGGGGAGCAGTTAGGGGTGGGCAGGCTGGGAGGGAAGCATTTAGGGGCAATCAGGCAGGCAGGTAGAATTGTTAGGGATGATCAGACAGGAAGGCAGGTGAGTGATTAGGAACTAGCTATCCCAGATTGCAAGAGGGATCCTGGATTGGAGAGGGTGCAGGCAGGCTGAGGGATCCTCCATCCCCCATGCACAAATTTCATGCACTGGGCTTCTAGTTATAAGTATAAAGTCTAAAAAAACAAAACAAAACAAAAAAAACTATAATAACTTGCCCAAGATTACACAATGAAAGTGGAGGAGCAAATGTTGTGCCCATGTCTCCCAAAATTTACAACTACTTTGTAATTCTGCCCTTGGAACATAGACTAAATGAGCTTACTTATGTATCCAATACTCGTTCTCCCTTTTTTTTCTAACTGACATCCCATTTGTTTTTTAAGCCACTGGTATCAAATATTCAATTATGCAGCAAATTCAATATCTAAATGTTATAAAGACCAATAAAATTGATCACCATAAGAAGAAAAATTCCCCTGGTAAAATAACAAATAAATGTATTCTTAAGTCAATAAATGAACAAAAATCCAGGTACATGTTATTTATGAGACACTTAGAAGGAAACAAGACAGAAAGACTAAAAGAGAGCTAGGCTAAGGCAACCTAATGAAGTATGAGTAAAATGGAAGCAATGTTACACACTAATATTGTATTCTAAAATGTTCTAGCCAAAAACACACAAATAAAAAACACCACAAACAACTAAAAAACAACAACAAAAACAACCACACACAACACAAAATGGGACAAAAATAAATAGTTCACATTGATAAAAGGCATAATAAGTCAAGAAGATATACTGGGTAATTTTACGCAGTAATTGCTGTTATTTAAAATGTATAATTCAAATCTGTTGGAAATGCAAGTTATTTGACAAAACTGTATATGAAAATTTTTGACATTCCCCTTTCAATCAGTCACCAAATAATTAAGCATGTGGAAAATATAAATAACATAATTATTATAGTAGTGCTTATATAGCAAACATATACTACACATATTCTTACAAAAGTCCATTAAGTAGAGATAAAAATCGATCATAGAGCAGGCAACAAACAATTTCCCCATAAATTCTATAAACTAGATACCATAAAAGCAGTGATATCCATAAATTTTACCAAAGTAGAAAAGACAGCCACTCTATCCCACAGAAAATAAAAGCAGACCACATTCCTCTCAATAGACCATGAATCAAGCAAGGGAAATTAAAATTTAAAACAATGTAAAGATGAATTAGACATTAATAAAAATAAGAACATTACTTGCCAAAGTCTGTGAGATATGGCCAAAGAAGTACCTAAGGAAAAAATTTTTGTATATCAAATTCAACTGAAGAAGTTGAAAGACGAGGCCAGCCCGGACCAACTCTACAAAATATATCTTTTTAGAATGTTGTTAAGAATCTATAAGTTTGAAGGAAGAAACTCATGGCAGTGGATGGAGATAGGAATAAGGAAGAAACTAATTTTTTATTATGTACCTTGTGATACTTTTTAAATATTTTACCATGTGCATACAAAGACAACAATGAAATTATCCAGAAATAATCAAATGTGAATATTGTATTTGCTACCAGTGTTTTCTTTATCCATAAGATTAAGATCTATAAACTAAAGCCTAGTCTCATACTGTTTTCATAACAAAATGAGTTCCTGGTGCTTGATGGTATAATAAATATAAAATGTGAAATAAGAAAGGAAATGAAAAAAAGTAGATGAAGATACATTTCAAGGTGGTACCAAGGGTTTTTAAATTTAATTTAATTTTTAACATAAAAAATGGATTTAAAGTGTAAGGAGACTGATCATTTCTAGTATGTTTTATATGTTTTTCTTTTTCTAGAAGTAGCATTACATTACAAAAATGAGCAAAACCCAGCAAAATAAATTATTTAGTCAATTTTCCTAGCATCGTTTTTGAAATATTCTTTCTCATTTTCAGATGAATTGTGATGCTTTCTTTGCTCATTTAGTTATGTTTACTAAGAATGACAACTGTTGCTCTAGCCAAGGGCTTATTTTCTTAACTACAGAAAAAATTATACATTCAAAGAAAATACTGCACTTTACAGGAGATAGTTAAGGCAGAATATCCCAAAAAGTATAAGTCAGAGAAGATAGAAAAACAGAATGTGAACATAAAGTTGTGCCTAGAATGAGGCTAAAGGTATACACTTTTAAAAGCAATGAGTATAATTTTGGTTCTAAATGGTCTAGTGATCAGAGAAACAAAGAAACATAGTAAATTACACAATTAACAGCATCCTCCTCCCACCCCCACCCAAAGGAACAGATTGTTTAAGTCTAGGACTATATTTAGAACTAAATTAAATAGAAAATAGCCCAAACTCATAGAGACAACTGATACTTTGCCATGTTCTCATTTCTAGAAGGAACTTTAAGAAGGTGTCCTGTTTTTAAGATAAGATAATATTTTTTCCCTTTGATTATTGGAATTGGAATTTTCTGCCTCCTCCTTTCTACTTGTTTACTTTCCTCCTTTTTTCTTTTATATATATATTTTTTTTTTCATCATCTTCTCCTATTCCCCTCTCTCCCTTCTTTTCTTCTTCTTCCACTGTGTGGTTAGCCATGAATCCTCTTCAACATATTAAGGACATTAGTCTGTAGAGATTTTTAATTTGCTATCGTTTGGAATTTTGATGTAGATACTGTTTTCATTGTAAAAAGAAAAGTGGGTGTTTGTTTTGTTTATTTCCTATGTCCTGGCACTGTTGAGTTATCATTAGAGAAATCCAATCATTGAATATTTTTTTAACTAGGCCTTGAGATCATCAGGCTCTCCCATAGGAGGAGGGTGAGGAGGGGTAGTTGTGGTGATGTTAACATAGGTCTTTGATAATATCTTCGTTTCTTCCAAATATTTGATCAAAGTTACTTTCTTTTATGATCATTTTTGGCAATTTATATGGTCCTAAGAAACCATCTAGTTTTCAACTTAATTGCAAACTTTCAAAGTCCTTTATATCTATACTTATTTTCTTATTTTAATGGCTTATTTCATATATATTTGTGCTTCTCTCTTTTCCTTGTTTAGACTAGCTATTGATTTCTCTTTTTTGTTGTGTTTCAAATAATCAGCTGTTTTATAATTCATTAATTTCTGACTTTTCTTATATTTATTATGCTTTTATTCAGTGAGTTTTATTTCTCTGCTTTTTTGAGATTTAAACTTAATTTGTTTATTTAATTTTTTATTTATCAAAATGAATTTTTATTTTATGCACTTAACCCAAAACCACTCTCATCTCATACTTTAGGTCCAAGTGATATGTGGTATTTTCATTATTTTTATGCTTTAACTATACTAAAATTATTATTTTTATTTCTCTGAGTCAAGAATCAAAGAGAGATTTTTACAAGTTTAGCTGTAAAGCCTTTGTTTTCTGATTTTATTTAGTATTTGCTTATCTATTTATTGCACTTTGTTCAGTTAAAGTTGTCTGTACTTTGAATGTTTTATAGTTAGGATTTTTTGTGACCTAATACATGCTGAATTTTTATAGTCAATAGACACTTGTAAGTTTAATTTCTGTTTTCTGCATATGAAGTTTGACTATTTCAATCAGCTCTCTTTTATTAATTAAGCTACTGTATTCTTCTTTATGATGTTGATTATTATTATTCTATTTCCTGATATGAGATAACTGAGGTAAAAGTTCCTACTACTTTTGTGTTTTAGTATTTCTTCTTTATTTCTTATATTTTTCATTTATTCATTATTTTTAGGTTATAATTTTGGTGAGTGGTATGCATGATGTCATATTTTGGTTGAGGTTTGTTACATTTATCATTATCGTGGTTATGTGTTGAATGATGTTCTCCCAAAAATATATGCTGAAGTCTTTTAGAAATAGGGTCTTTGCAAATGTATTCAAGTTAAGCAAAGGTCATAGGATGAAGTCATCCAATATCACTGGTGATCTTATAAAAAGGGGAAATTGTTAGATTATATAAGATCTCTTACCCCAATGACCTTTCATACATTATTTCCAATATTACCATCTTATCATTAAACATGATTAGAACATTTGAAGAGATCCTTACCAAGAAATCCCTGTTATGATCTGAAAGAATTACAAAATCCTTTTCCAATAGATCACACTAACAGGGATTTGGGGGTTGCGGGGTGGGGAAGGGAGAGACCAAAACTTGAGAAAGAAAAGAAAGGAGAGGCATTTTTCCAGATGATTCTACATTATTTTCAGATTTTATCAAAGCAATTTTATTTCTGTACTTCCAGATAAGTTTTAAACATTAATTACATCTGAATCATACAACATTAATTAGAAAAGAGTAACCTTTTTATGAATTACAAAAAAGCAGAAATTCTAGCTTTCTTCTGCCTACTACTATCAAACCACCATCTGATGGCAGTATACCCTCAAATTACAGATTCCAGTTTTTAATATTTCATATCAAACTATACCACTAAAATGATGATCAGCATAATATTTATTTATAGAGCCTGGTATTTCAAGACAATGGGCTGTAAAAATTCCCATGGCATAATCTTTTCCCTCAAGGAGCTCACAGTGTACTGGGGAAAGAAGCATATGCACAGATAATTTTAACAACAGTGTTTAATGCATATTACAGAGCCTTAGAGACAAATTCTTAGCCTAATCCGGAGATAAGATTTTGCAAGGAGATGACACCTGGACTGAGTTTTAATATGTCCAAATTACTAAGATTAAAACACAAAGTAAAATTATAAATATTATGGAAGGGCAAAAAATGACTACTTTTTATAAGGAATAAAAGAGACTATTAGATTCAAAGGGTGGGAAAATAGTTGTACATTTCAGGCCAGATAATCCACTAAAGATCAATATTTCTTGAACATTTGATATATGCCAGGCATCCACAGACAAAATGTGCACAACTTTTGCCCTAAGAAAGCTTTTCTTCTGGAAGACAAGCTGACAATAAGTCCAAAATGTAATGCCACGTAATTATATTCGCACCAAAGAAGAGATAAGCAAAGCAGTGGCTACAAAGGAGAGACCCAGAAATGGCTTTGAGAGGCAGTGGTGTTTTAGATAAGGCCATTCAGGAACACTTTATATGCTTACCTGAGTGATAAAACTGCATATACCAACTATACTCATGTTTGTGGCTAAAGTCTGTTAGCAAAGTAACAATGAAAATGTACTTACCAACACTTGCCCCACAACGGTCTGTGCCGAAAGTAACATTTCTATACGATCACGAAATACTCCATGGAGGTAGAGACTTTGTAAATGTTTATTACTGCGGCTCCTTGTCAAGATTAGTTTCTATGAATGAGAGAAAGGAATTGAGTGTGACCTGGAACTTGGAGAAAGTAATCTGCTTATAGATTCTCCTGTGCTGTGGTATCTGCCAGAATTTATCCCACCTATTCCAAACCAGAGATCCCTGAAGTCACTCATTCAGTATTTCAAGAGATGGACTTTATTGAGTTTGCTTTGTACTGGCCTTCTGCACAGGTTTTTATCTCTGAATTGGACATTTTCATCATGCTTTCCTCACACACTCTTAAGTCCAGGCCCTTCAAACTGACATTATTGCAATGATCAGGTTTGGGAGCGCCATGTTTTTTCAGCTCTGGGAAAAGTGTCTTTTTTTTTTTTTTTAATAATATATTTTATTGATATATATATATATATATATATATATATATATATATATATATATATTTTTTTTTTTTTTTTTTTTACAGAGAGGTAGAGAGAGGGATAGAGAGTTAGAAACATTGATGAGAGAGAATCATTGATCAGCTGCCTCTTGCGCACCCCCCACTGGGGATGTGCCCGCAACCAAGGTACACGCCCTTGACCAGAATCAAACCCGGGACCTTTCAGTCTGCAGGCCGAGGCTCTATCCACTGAGCCAAACCAGTTTCGGCGGGAACAAGTGTCTTATCCTTTTCCATCAAGATACATGAACAAAGGAAAAAACTTACAAATTCATTTTTAGGTGATTACTTAGTATCTGCTTTTTTTGAGAGAAAAAGAAGGAAGTTTTAGCAATTTGATTCTGCTTTTAGTTCTTTATCTAGTATGATATCTTGCTAAAATTATAATCATTTCTCACATTTGCAAATTGCCTTTACTTATTATATTTGGCATTTGTATCATCCTATGATGTAGACAAAGTGTGAATGAATCCATTGTATATTGGTAAGGAAGTTGGAGTATAGAGAAATTCAATGACTTGCCCACAAGCAGGCCATCAGGAAAGTCTGGGGTCTAAGCTAGCTTCTGTGTCTATTGATGGTCTTGAACTACCACTGAGAAAGACACAGCATGCTGACCAGACCCTCTGGCTTTTAGAAAAGTTCACTTCGGATACGACCAGGGTTTTGAAATTACTTTATTTTTGTACTCATATAATATTTTCTGTATGGTAGAAGAAAAATCTCAGTAAATCACTATTGGATAGAGTTCATATCTCGATCAATGATTTGTCTTCTAATACTTATGATTCATCATGAGCATTCCTGAGATTTTTGATAATTGTTTTTTTTTTAAATATTCAATATAACATTAATATAGAACCCTCACCTTAATTTCATTATAAAATTGGAGGTGCCTTCTGTGGGAAAACAAATTGGCCCTAAGATACAATAAAATCATACTTACTAATATAGTAAGCCTTTGAAAAATGCACATTTAAAGAGAAAAATGATGACTCTTCAAATAATTTTAAAAGAACTTTGTCAGTACCCATATTTCTGGCATTTTTTACAATAGGCCAACTTTCCCAAAAGCTTAAGAGTAAATTACTGCACTCTTTAACTTACATTAACTTAACAAATTATTGAGAAGTCATTCAACTTTTATCAAAGTTCTCAAGATTCAAGAGCGGAACATAATAGTATTCTGGTTGCTTGGAGCTCATTTCTTTCCTTTTTGTAATATTTGCTTTCTATTTTAAATTAAAAGATACCTCTACACCAACAGGTAGACAGGAATTACATCCAAAGAAAGAAGCAACAAATACAGCAAATATTTATAGACAAATGAGTTCTCACATTTTTGTAACCACACGTAAATGAATTTAATGAGGAAGAAGATATATGTCTTAGAGCAGGAAGCTAAGAAGACTAAATTATTCTGCCAATTGAATTGTGCATTGAAAATAGGAAAGAAGGCTGATCCACCAAACCCATTCATGTACTCTGTCAATATTGTTAAGAAGTCGCTATTCAGCCCTCACCGGTGTGACTGGGTGAATAGAGTGTCGGCCTACGGACTGAAAGGTCCCAGGTTCGATTCCAGTCAAGGGCATGTACCTTGGTTGCAGGCGTATCCCCAGTTGGGGGTGTGCAAGAGGCAGCTGATCGATGTTTCTCTCTCATTGATGTTTTTAGCTCTCTATCCCTCTCCCTTCCGCTCTGTAAAAATATATATATATGTCAATAAAATAAAATTTAATATATATATATATATATATATATATATATATATATTTAAAAAGAAGTCAATACCCAGAACTATTTCCCCAATTTTTATGTTATTGCCTATAATCATAAATCTACAAATAATTAGTAACAGAACAAACTTATTTAACAACGGAATCTATGAACTTCAATATTGGTTACTTCTCCAATGCAGAAACCATATTATGAGATTGCAATGACTTTAAGTACCAAGTTATAAATTCTGTTATTTTGTGTCAATGTTTAGCATTAAGAGAAATGTTTTAAGCAACCTTTCAATATTAATTATATTGCACAGATGAAATGTGTTCTGTTAGGAAAGGTACCATAATCAGAGAAACAAACATAGTGTGGCAAACAATATTGGAAACAAGCCAAATATGGCATAATAAAACTCTCTGCTTTAGACCACTGGTAATGGAATAGCTATTATGTAGCATATAAGCAATGTCTTAAATGGGTAATAGATAATTATTCTCGTCATAATCATTTAACAGGTCATTCAATAGCACTCATTCTTGTAAAACTAGTTCTGCATGAAAAGGTCTCCGCATTTGAGGCTGGGTGTCAGGTGTGTGTATGTGTGGATGTCCATGTGTAGATCTGTGCAAATGAGTGTGTTTGTGGAATACAAAAGGCAGTACATATGAGAATGCATATGCATCATGGATGATGGATCTATGAAAGTGAGGTTGACTTTGTTTTTGTTTGTTTGTTTTTAAAAATATATTTTATTTATTTTTCACAGAGAGGAAAGGAGAGAGACAGAGAACTAGAAACATTGATGAGAGAAATACATTGACCTGCTGCCTCCTGCACACCCTCCACCGGGGATGTGCCCACAACCAATGTACATGCCCTTGACCAGAATCGAACCTGGGACCCTTCAGTCCACAGGCCGAAGCTCTATCCACTGAGCCAAACCGGTTTTGGCTGACTTTGGTTTTTCCTTTTTTCCTCTCTCATAGGACCTAGCACAATTTTCATTTTAAAATTCATTACAGAGGAATAAACAATGTTTGTGGGTATTTTTACTGTCAGAAAAGCAATCTGTTTCAAGAGCTAACATGTATCATCATCCATATAGTCATACAATAAGTGGTGGGATAAATGGCTCTATACCTAAGACCCTTGGAATAGCAGCCTAGTGGATCCGCCCCTTTCTAAGGCATCAGTTCAGAGCTGGCTCTCTTAGCCTGTGAAAACTCAGTGAAGCTTTAATTATTTCCTAAACACAAACACATGCCAAACCTGTCTCTGATCTTCATACAGTGGGATCCCAAATAAGGAAACTGACCAAGAGAATTCCTGTTCCCTTGAAGTTTTGCCATTTTTTTATGCGGAAAAGTAGCCGGAAAAGGAATAGGATGAGGAGTCCACTTAAGAAGGTCACTAAGGAGGAAAGAATAAATGCAGCTTGGATCTCAGTTGTACAGTATAATTTTCCAATTTCTTCCCCATTATCACTTCGTTGCTTGGTTCGAAACATCGGGAAGCTGAATGTCAGAATTCTATGATGTCATGATCACATGGTAATGATTCCAGGAATTAGAACTCAGTTTATTACAGAGTCTTAACACTGGGTGCCATGTAATGAGTGGTTCTAAAGACATGGGTTGACTAATGACTGAGATGCTGCCTCCTAGGATGCTAGTGAATGAACAGAAAGTTGAGATTCACAACATGGGTCTTCAGATGATGTGAATTCTAGATCTGGTTTTATTGTTCATTTTCTCAATAACCCTAAGGAAGTTACATTCTTTCTCGCTATGGTAATGGACTATCTACTTGGTTTGCACAGTCAAGCAATTTCAAAATAACTTTTCTTTTTGCATGAAATGACATCTAACCATCTGTGTATCAGTGAGTTAGTTGATTCTTCACCTTAAGAATGCCATATTCTCAATATAATCTTGCAAAGACAGATTATCGAACAATTTAGGATTTTAGCTTATCCTTTCAATAAGAAAAGCATGGTGTAGAGTACAGGTATTGCAGGGGGCAACTGTTATTTGAATCCAGGACTCTGTTCCTTTTATGTCTTCTTTTTGGGACCTTCCACTTCCTTTTTTTTTTTTTTTTTTTTTTTTATCCCTGTCCTGTCAACAAAACCTTTGGTTCAACAGAGGCAAAGTTCAGGATGAGAGCAATTTCTTGTTTTCTCTGATGTTTTCAAAGGTGTAAGAAATATCATGCCTTTCATTGTGCATGAGAGGTCAGCAAAACGTCAGAGTGGAAGGTCCTCCCAGTTATTGTGAAGACGACCTGACATAAGGTGATGAGACCTAGAAGAAATAACATTGCCCTGTGCACTCCACCATGACTCTGTTCTGTGGAGCAGACTATTTCTAGAAGAGAAGTACATTTCCTAGAACTGTTATCACAGTTATTTTGTCATGGGGGACGTAGATGACTAGGGAAAAAACTGCCTTTTGTGACTTGGGAAACAATTCAGTGTTCAGAACATGGGAGGTAGATGACTTTGAAGCAACTTTAACCTTCACTATACTCTTCTTGTACTCAGAGTTTAAAGACACAAGAATAATACCTACTTTGTGGGGTACCTACTACAAGCAGAATCTTTGTCAAGTGTATATGTGTGTATGTGTGTGTTGAGTATTATAGTAACTACTATGTGCCAGTTACTGGAGGCAGAATGGTCAGCAAAACAAACATAGTTCATCCCCTGAGGGACAATATAATTAGCCCAGGGAAACACTTACAATTAGAAACTGAAGGAGGTATGTGGGGGGAAATGTAGTGAAAGGAGGAATCTGATCTAGGTGAAGAGTCCAGAGACTGTGTCATGTCTGAAGCTGAGCTCTGAGGCACGAGAAGGATCCAGGGACAGGACCCTTGGTTGTCTGGAGAAGCTGGGTACATATTGCTAGACAGAAGGACTACTGTGGGCAAAGGTGGAAAAGAGATGGCACTTTGAAGAGGGTGGTTGATGCAAAGCAGTGATCCAAGAGAAGGCTGGCTATGTATGAAGGGAAGCAAATCATGAAAGGCATTGTGTTCCAGTTTAAGATTTTAAAAAAATACAGCCGAAACCAGTTTGGCTCAGTGAATAGAGCATCAGTCTGAGGACTGAAAGGTCCCAGGTTCGATTCCTATCAAGGGCATGTACCTTGGTTGCGGGCACATCCCCAGTAGGACATGTGCAAGAGGCAGCTGATCACCGATTCTCTCTCATCGATGGATGTTTCTCACTCTATATCCCTCTTTCATCCTCTATATAAAAACTCAATAAAATATATTTTTAAAAAATACAAACACACACTTTATCATTTGAAGGACTTTAAAGAAGGGAGTTAAATGATTGAATGCCAATCAGAGAAGGCCTTGGTCCAGAGTGAGAGGAGGCTAATTCAGTGAATGTGCTGGTGGGTGGGGCAAGCAGGTGGCCAGGATGGAAGGTCTCTGTACATCCCCACATGGAGATGAGCGTGAGGACTTGTCACTGCTGACCCTGCATTCCTGATCAGTACTTCTGAGTGGTGGTTGAAGCCTTTCACTGCTACCCTTTTAAAACTAGATCTAAGAAATAAACAAAACTACACTACTGAAGATTTCTTTCTTTCTTTTTTTTTTTCAGATGAATTTTTTAACATGACCATGATTTGATTAGAAAAATAGCTTTACTTTGTACAAATCTCTATAATTTACATTTAGGCACTCAAATATTCTGGGAAAATTATACTTTATAATGAGATTGAACATATGTTTCATTTTAAAAATTTACTTTCTTCAGAAAATGTGCCATACCTGAAGAAGGAAAGCACTTCAGTCTTTAAGTGTATATAGCAGCACTCATGAACATTTGTGTGTTTACTGCTTCTGAAAGTAATAAATCATATTGTAAAGTTCTCTTTTAAGGGCCTATATCCATATGTCATAATTAATGCTATAACCCTACCTTCTTCTGTTTCTATTACCAGACCTTTAATTCTTACCCCCAAGGAACATCCACCCATCAGGCAAATACTGGTGAGGACATACAAGGCCCCAGTTCATGCAGCTAGTCAGTGACACACCAGGTCTAAAGTCAAGGGTGAAGATGGTTTTACCTCCACAGAACACTTACATCACAGCAAAAGCACATCCCAGTGAGAGGCTTCTGGGGTAAATATCTTCTTATTGATTTCATGTATCTATCACTTTGGGAATGCTACTTAAAGTTCATTGCCTGAGTCACTCCAGCTATTTACATGAAGCTATTTTAGTCACCAAATCTTTTACCGTTCACCTTCATTTTTTTTATTTAACTCCTCAAGTTTCATAAAATGGGACAAATAGCATATTAAACACTTGTAGAGAAAGCTTACTTTTGAAAGATCATTTAATCCATATCCCATTTAGATCCATGATCTATGGAAATCCACTGTTTAAAAAGAGTCCTGTATTTTTTTTTCTTCTCTTTATTCTAAATAGATAAACCATAGCAAGGCACTATACTATAGAATGCCTATACTATTTTGGTGATTTTATTTTTAAAAACTATAATTTCTTGAGAGGCTGATATTATAAACAATGTAATCATATTTAAAATCCATACAGAAATCTTGAGTTTTGTTTTTATCTTTTTTTTTTTTCAAATGTGTTGGTTTATTTCTGAAGTATAAGCCCTTGACTGAGCTTCTTATACTCCCTCAACCTTCATTTTCTCTTCAGTAAAATGAAGAGGCTGGACTGGTATTTGAGATTCCAACCAGCTTGCACACACCAAGAATCTTTGATTGTATAATCCCAGATTATGTCTTTAAGAGATTATAATTCTTTTTTAATATTTCAGTGTCTGATCTCATTCCCCAGATGAATTCTTTTGGGAAAAAGGACAAGGAAGCTTATTTTCTCTTGGGGGAGAGTTTAGGGAGGATGCACAAAGCCATGGAAGAGAGTCCTGAACCATCTTCTTTTTAGTGTCACTGTCTTTTTTGTGTCCTTTATCCTATAAATTCTGCCTACTCTTTATTACTATCTCCTCTTAATCAATATTATGACTACATGTCTCTCCTTAGGGGCACCTCCATTAGGTTATAATTAAGTACTAAGTTCCCCTTCATAGTTTTGCACTGCTTTTTGTGTGTTAGCCTTCTCTGTACAACCATCTTCTCCACTAAATTCATCATTTAAAACACGAGTACATTCTGCAAATAACCAAAATTCTACAAACGTACTAACTGGTGTGCCAGAGAGATTATCCCTTCCCCTTCCTCTGACCAGTCTCCCATTCCTTTTTCTCACTGATTTGCTTTTTTATTTTATTTTATTATTATTATTTTTTTGGTGATTCAAAGTTATGGATCATTTTGAATATTTGCAAAGTGAGGGTTTTACTTAGTGAGTTTCCAAATGCAATGTGAAGAATTGCAACAACCTCTTTGTCTGATTTGTAATTCCTAATTATTCTACTAAATGTTTGGAGAGTGGTCTTCAAAAATCATAGTAGAAGTATAACAAAAAAAGTTAAGTGGTGAACCTCCTCCATTTGGCCAGTAGATGGAAGTATTTCATAGGTAATTAACAAGCAATAGGGTTTTGGTTCTGGGTTTTGTTTTGTTTTTAAGAAAATGGAGGACTCATCAGGAGTAGACAGGAGAAATGAAAAAGAGAAACTAAGCAAGGAAGACTGGGACATCCAATTCTATAAAATACAGGGCTTCCAAACTCAGTCTCACTAAGAACCTACATTCTGTTCAGGTCCTGTTTATTGTCTGTGACTGCCCCTTTTGAAAAAAATAGATGGATAAATTAAACTGTTGATAACTGTAGTTTTTAGGTTGTTGTTGTTTCTTTATGGAACCTTTTTAAAATTTATTTTTCATTTTTCATTTTAATATATATTTTATTGATTTTCTACAGAGATGAAGGAAGAGGGATAGAGAGCTAGAAACGTCGATGAGAGAGAAACATCAACTAGCTGCCTTCTGCACGCCCCCTCACCCAGAATGTGCCCGCAACCAATGTACAAGCCCTTGATGGGAATTGAACCCGGGACCCTTCTGTCCCCAGACCGATGCTCTATCCACTGAGCCAAACGGGCTTTGGCATCTTTATGGATCCTTGAGAATCCTAAAAATCTCACGGATCATGAGAAATGAATGATACAATCAATCTGTTCAGCAATCAGGCCAGCTGAACATCAAGCTGGTGGTTTCATTGGCAAAAGTGGTGTGTTGCTGCTCCAACCAGCCATTCTGGCCATGATTCCAATGCAGAGGTCATCATGTCAGCCTTTGCCCATCCTCTCTACTGCTCCTGTTTGGAATTATTTCTGATCTATAATACCATGGAATCACCAAGCATTGGTTGCATTCTTCCTCTGGGTACTGTGTGAGTGTATGTTTCCAAAATCTCAATTTCAATGAACCATGTGTATTTGAGTCTCTGGGTATCATATCCATCCAGAAGATTCTGTTGAAAAGCTGAGTTGTCACTAACAGCATAAGAAATGAAAGCCATTGTCTCTGTATCAGCTCCTCCTAA